ATTTCTTCAAAATTAAATACTGACACGCATTTACGCACACATGACCTTTTCCAGTTTTGCTTATTTTATCTACCTTGAAAACCAATGAGACTGGACGCAATTGCCAAATACTTCTTTGATACGCGTGCCGGGTCTATAATTGCATTTTCTCATGGAAGGAATCAAACAAAAATTATAAAAATAATTCTATGTTAAGGTGATGCTTCACAAATAATATTAATGTCAAAAAATTAATTCAGTTCTTCAAAATTAAATACTGACACGCATTTACGCACACATGACCTTTTCCAGTTTTGCTTATTTCATTTACCTTGAAAACCAATGAGACTGGACGCAATTGCCAAATACTTCTTTGATACGCGTGCCAGGTCTATAATTGCATTTTCTCATGGAAGGAATCAAGCAAAAATTATAAAAATAATTATATGTTAATGTGATGCTTCACAAATAATATTAATGTCAAAACTTTAATTCATTTCTTCAAATCCAAATACTGACACGCTTTTGCGCACACGTGACCTTTTCTTCTTTTGCTCATTTTATTTATCCTAAAAATCAGTGGGCCTAAATACATTGTCCGATACTCCTTTAATACGTGTCAGGTCTAAAATTGCAGTTTATCATGAAAGAAATCGAACAATTATCATAAAAATAATTATGTGTAAAGGTGATGTTCTTCAGATTATATAAACATCAAAATTGTAGTTCATTTATTGAAAATTAAATATCCACATGCTTGTAGGCGCACATAACCTTTTCCCTTTCGTTCATTTTATCTATCTTTAAAATCAGTGAGCCTGAACTCATTGCTAAATACTTTTTGATACGAGTCAGCTCCAGGTCTAAAATTGCATTTCATCATGGAACAAATCGAGCAATCATTATGAAAATAATTCTGTGTAAAGGTGATGTTCCAAAGACAATATATATGTCAATTTGATAATTCAGTTACTCAAAATGAAATATCCACATGATTTTACGCACACATGATAATTTCCTGAATGACGCTACTTTTTGGATTCAACCATGCATATAACGTCGTAAAATACACATTTCTACCGAAATTATGCCCAGCCGTTTTCGTAGAAAATGTAACAAATGAAGGCATTTTATCGGAACTGATTGATATTTGGTACTTATAGAATATTGTATTTACTTTAACTTTTAAGCGATTCAGACATTTAAAAAAATTATGTTTAATCAATGTTAATTTCAGACGAATATAGGGGACAAAATGAGTGAAAGTCTCACGTGTTTGATTGTATTTTACTCCCATTTATATGCATTTTTCTAACATTAAAATGAGATAGTTGGACAGAAGAGATCAGTAGAATTCTATCCGTCACTTTCATTTTCAAATGTTTAAATGTTTCCCGTTCCATTGGACCTCATAAAGATGGTAGCCAACGGACCAGAAACAAGTAGTGCGATGACGTCATATATCGCTACACCACTTTGATATAAAGTTTGGTAAACAACAATGGGTTTTTTCAATGTGCCGTCCTACTGCGTCATAATAACTATTTTTCATATGTTTACCGTCTTGGTAGGTACAAAAAACACGTATGATATTCTAATTAAACGAATTTTTATATTTCATGGCCTCATTAAACACTCATTCCGTTTAGAATGGTAATAGAATCATTGATTTAAATGTATTTATGCAATCACTTTGTATAACACCTGTTCAGTTTGGGTAAAAAATCAGATTTTGAATAAAACATGGCAACGAGGTCGAAGGACCAAATTTCGTACCAAAATCATCGGATTATGAGCATTGTCAGATAAAAGTGATGATATCATCAACAATGAAAATTATGGTGATTCGAGTGAAAGCATGAATCCAATGTTTTGAAGAACTTCGCAGGACACAGACGTTGACGTATAGTGCTGCGGGAATTATATCAAATTATATTATATCCCGACGCCATGAGTATATGATAAATTAACAGGAATATTTGTGACATACGTCATGTTATTATATGATCATCCGAAATCTTACTCACTACCTCATCGGGTTTTACTCACGGTATAATTGTAATACTCAGGTGGTAGCATCGGGTCCTATAGAATCGTACTTGTGGTATAATCGGGTCTTTCATTTTCAACTTTCACCGGTGATTTAAATGATATGCAACGTATGGCAGTGAAACAAATGTGGTATATTTGCAACTATTGTATCTTTGAATCAAATGGAGTAAATACAGCCATGGTTCTTACTTATTTAAGATGTAAAACATCATTCAAATATTTAGAAGTTAAATTTAGCGATTTGATAGTAAATATTACATTAAGTACTCATTATTCTGCAAACATGAGTGCCTGGAACAACAACTATATCGATTACAAACAATTCTGTGTTTTATTCTGAGTTTATTAACTCCACCCCTCTACATTTTCAGACATCTTCGGGTCTTTACTCGGCGGTAGGTTGTAATAGGCGGGTAGACTCCTCCCCCGTGGTATAGGAGTTCTTCGTGAACGTTGTTTGCAATTCTTAAAATGTGAAAAATCCTTAGCATCCACTCATTCAAAATGACAAACAACCACTGACAGATTCGGGGGGCGGCCCCCTTGGATGGGCCCAGAAAAAATTGGGCCCAATTAAATTGGAAAATACAGCTTTGAAATACAGCTTAGTAGTGTGACCGGTCTGTAATTTGAGGGAGTATTCTTATCGTTCGTTTTATGGATTGGTGTGATATTACCAAGTTTCCAGCATTCCGGGAAATGATTGGTCAAAAATATTTTATTGATTAATTTAGATAAAGAAAATACGAGACCAGGTGCTGAAACTTTAATCATTCTATTACTGATCTGATCAGGCCCAGATGCTTTATTAATATTTAGAGACATCGTAGCTCTATAAACCTCATCTATTTGTTGAAAGTATATCAATAGACGCATTTGTCAAAATGATCACCAATGTAAAAACTTTTAATAAAATGAGCTAAAAATATATTTGCCTTCTCTTTACCAGTCATTACATTTTGCCATTTTGGTCGACTAAGACGGGAACATAGCTTAAACGTGTCGTGTACCAGTAAATAATCTCGAGGCAACATTCAAATATAATTTAGATCCAAACTGTTGGGTTTCCATTTTATTTATCATGCGTCTTTCATGCTCATCTTTGGCTTTAGAGATTGCATTATTGACTATGACACACTGATCTTGATATTTTTCATAATGTTCATGACTGTTAGAGTCTCTGAATTTGTAATGGTATTTATTTCTTTTATCAATCTGAGTTCGAATTTGATCATTAAACCATGGTTTATCATTTGATTTAACTTTAATAAGCGTGTTAGGAATACCCACTCTTATTAGCCTCCCATTTGCACTTATTTCGTGTACCATCAACTAAATGAAAGTACGGGATTGCAGATTTTAATCAACAATAGAAATGGATATATCTAGTCACGAAAATTATTTCTAAATTATTTCATCAGACCTTAAAAATGCTAGGGGACAGTAACAAAAAAAACTCACAGCAAAATGTTTAAAAATGGTAAACATATCAGTGAAAATTCTATAGCTTATTTCTAGAAATAGAATAAAGCAAGCATCAGCGCTATTGTGTAGATTGCTAAATGACACAATGCATACACTACCATGCGCACAGCTGAGTCTAGTTATAAACTATTATTTGAACAAATCCAGTAATGTATAAACTATAAGAACTGGCTATTAGGTAAAACATGTCCGAGTGCCAGGAAGAATGGTAAATACATTACTGAAAACCCACACTAACAATATGAAGGGTAAATGGTCCATGATCCATTTAGGCTTACACTGAATGCTATTCAACTGTAAATATTGATTCTATTGGCTTTTCAACTATTAAAACGTACTTTATGCCACACTGGTTTTTGATAGCTTTCTGAGTGCCCATTCTTTAAGACAGTAGAAAAAGAATGTACTCCACAATAGAAAAGAATGTTCTTTTGTAACAACTGTACATTTTTTAAAAATAAACTACAGTTTTTGTATATTGTGTTGCTACCTATTTAAAGTGGGGTTTAAAAATCGTAAAGATCTATCGTAATTGAAGAGAGAATCAGATCTATACTAGCGAGCAGGCCAACCCAAAAATTGTTTCAATTTTAGAATGATTTTTGGCTCATGTCATTCCTTGTCATGTCTATTTTCTAAACATGCACTTTCTTTCAGGAAAACTAAAGATTTTTACAATAATGTATCATATTTTCATAAGAATGATTTTCGGTAGAATTTGAATATTTTTCACCCATTTTTGCACTTTGAATCCATAATAACTTCACCAATTAAAACAGATCGTGAATGTTTTGAGATATTGTATTTTGAGATTGTGAGGAGCAGATTGGTAGGTCAATTGTACATGTTGTTTGTAATTTTTTCACCCCTATAGATGTGATTCTGCTTTTAAGAAACAAACGCATCCAATTTGGTCTTCCGGTTGCTAAACTCATGGATGTGGTGTATCATATTCATTTCATGCTACATTTCAATAGGACGAAGATTAATTTGTTGAAAGCAACATCAACGTGTCGTTATTAATTAATTATGCTGAAAGGTTGACAGTGTTTTAGACATAAATTGGTGTTCAAGGTAAACCCATTTAATACACCAGGAACGAACCAGGTAAACCCACAGAAGGGACCTGAAAATCAAATAAAAACTACCGAACATTGATATCAATGAGAAACTGGGGTCTAAGTAAAAGCAAGCCCCAAAAATCAGTGAACTACCAGTACCATTTGTAACCCCGTGTTAAAGGGCCGTTGTGATCTGAGAACATTCTTGAAAATGAAACACCCTATCCACCTCTGACACGCATACGTGAAAATACAATTGACAGAGATGTTTTGGATAAAATGATGATAAAGGATCAGCCCCTTTATGATATCGGCATATCATACCACTGATGCGTGTTTAGAGTGAGACTGAGCTTTTTAATTATGTTTATTGACTATTACTATATTAATGACTGTAGATATAGCTAGAAACTGATTGTTCCAGGCAGTGCCAGATTTTTCACCCAGGTGACAACAGGGAAACTCAATCAATATGAAAAAGTTAACTATTTTTTTAATACCAAGCATATTTCTGAATAGAAACATATCAAGATTTTAAGATGAGTAAGGAGCCAAATATGGAGGGCTGGTCTAAAGCCCAAATTCGGAACTACAGAGGGACACTTTTGTATGGAACGGACACTAGTCACATTCACCCCATATCTCCGAAAATCCAAAAGAAGAACATAAACGGTGGCGTATGGGAAAAAAACCTGCCTCCGAATAGGCCAGCAGTCTTGACCGAAGAACAACTTAAAGAATGGCATGATGTGAAAACAGCAACTGGAGATTTCGCTGACGTTTCGACCACTCACGGCGTTCTACAGATCCATACTTCTACGACGTGGATAACAAAGTTCTTTTGGTTCGCCGTCGTCGTAAGCGTATCCAGTATGACGATCAACGGGTTGGTGCTGATTTTCCAGCGTTACTTGAAGTTTCCCGTAAAAGATAGCATTATGAAAGAGTACAAAGTCATGGCATTTCCTTCGGTGACCATATGTGGAATTTATCCTCTTCAATCACGCGAGAACGACAATAAAACTGCCTTGACGAAAATGCTCATCTACGAACTTGAGCGCAGAGACATTCTGTACAAAAAAGCCGAAAAGCTATTAGTGGCCGGAAATAAAACGGAATTCTGGGAAAGTATCAAAGCATACAAAAAACGTTTGATCACTAATGAACGGTACTTTGAAACGATCCAAGACCCGAAGCTCGAGTATCTCTACACAAATTTCAAAGATATGGTCATTCAATGCACCTACAATGGCGTAACATGTTCAGAGGACGATTTTGAAGAATTTGAACATGCAATGTATGGCAAATGCTTCACATTTCGCACGAACAAGTTCGAAGAAGAATACATAGCCAAGGAAACAGGCCCGAGCACGGGTATCACGATCATCATGTTTACTGGAACATTTGACCCTTTAGAGGACCAAGATACACAAGATTATGGCTTTTCAACTGAGCATGCGACCGCAAGTGATGGGGTACGAATGAACATCCATCCTCCCAGTTCAATGCCCCAGCCGTACAACAAAGGAATGGACTTGGCCCCGGGACATTTCACCTCGATCGGTCTAACCCAGACTTTGAGAAGCACGTTGATACCTCCTCATGGTGATTGTACTTACAACAGATACAACCCGGGAACAAACTTCTCTTACACAAAGGACACCTGTCTAATGACGTGCCTACAGACAAACGTGAAAAGAGAATGCGGGTGTTTCACGCCCAGAGGTCCAATCCCAGCTGGTACAAATCTGTCACTCCCCGAGAATGTCTATTGCGGAAAATTTGAGCACTTCTTGGTGTATTATGGTGAACATAACATAACAAGCAATGCTATGAATGAGTCCATTGATGCTGATTATACACAACGAATTTTTGAAGAATTGACACCAAAATTGGACTGCGAAAATAGGGTAAGTCAAAATTATAAACCTGTGATTGAAATGTATGATGTATACTCATCATACGTTTATTTCATATTTGGGGATTTCGTTCTTCTTGAAACTAACTTTTTGTTAGAGTTTGACATTCTCTTCTTTCTTTGAATTCGAGACCACTTGAAACTGACACTGCGAGAGCTTGGCATTCTCCGCTCTCTTGAAATCACTCTATACTAAGATCATGGGATCATTAAATTATGACATTTGATTTTCTGCCTTTAAGTCCCTACCTATAGCATCCATATCACATTCAACCTCTATTTGTAAACATTAAAGCAACAATATTTTTGAAGGCAAGAGAGGTTGACAATATCGCAGGCGATGATTGTACAATTGACCAAATTCGCGCTGTAGCATATGGATAGGGTTTGAGCGTACTTGCGCATTGATATTAGATGTATTTTTGATTTCTAGATTCTTCAGACGTTCTATCGTAAATATGCCGAAGACTGCAAATGTGCGAGGCCATGTGATGAAATTGGGTACAAACAGGTGATCAACCTCAGTCAATGGCCACACGAGAAATACTATCAAGGGCTTGATAAAAGGCGGTTCTTCGAGTTGATAAATGGCAACCCAGTTTCAAAGAAATATTTCGAAGAAAAACTTGACACGGATAAACTTGATCAGTATTTAGCAGACACCACCAAATTTACTGAGGAAACCAATAAGGACATATATGGACATACGATGTTCACTAAATACCAACTAGCAAACAAACTTATCGAGAAGAACTTTATAAAGTTGAACGTTTACTTTCAGTCTCTGGAAGTAGAAATTGTTAGCTCTTCAAAGGCGTACCAGCTGGACCAGGTAATTTCTGATATTGGCGGGGTGTTTGGTTTCTACATCGGCATTTCTATCGTTTCGATTTTTGAACTTGGGTCTCTTTTAATGAAAATCGGAAAAATCACAATGTGTGCAAGGAAACCTGAGGAAATGAAGAAACGGCAAAAAGTAGTTCATTTGATATAACAAACTTTGTATTTTTTACAAGAACAGTCTCCGTCTTTGCAATTCGAATGTGATGTTGTGATATTCATTAAGGTTCTAGAAATGTTACACCTCTTCCCCACGTTGTAAAACATATTTTGTGTAAATTGGATATACCTGGTGTCCCAAAAAATGAGACACTTTTTGACAAGTGTTTTTTCAGCAACTGATGAACCAAATTTTGAGAACATTTGTACAATGTAGCCTAGGAGTATCGTTAGGAAGGTATAGAAATATGAAAAAGATCAGGTAAATGTTATGTGAGAACTAAGAAATTCAAGAAAGCATGTCAAAATACCCCATACCGGAGCAATGCAATAAGAATTTCATAGCGTTAGTGCCAAAAAATGGGAAACAGTTTGACAAGTAATTCCCCAGCAATAGATAGGTCAAATTCTTTGAATACTCAACTTGAGGCACTTTATGGTATTCTCTGCTAGTGCTGTAAATATCTAAGAGATTGATTTCGTATTATGTGTGTATTTTTGAATTGAAGACAGTATGTCAAAATTACCAATATCAATTTAAAAGTCACTAATTATCAATCCATTTCCAAGCAAAATACATTTCCGTTTTTATTCTAACAATATCACCTCCAATGAATTTTGAAAATGAATGGATTTTGGATATTTGGAAAGAATGAAATGAATTAGGTAGACATGACACACAACCAAACTATTTTGACTGATTAACAAATGCTATCACCTGATAGCTAGCTGGTACAAAGACTATAGAGGCTCATCGCAGAGCTCCGGTATTGGGATTTTTGACATGCTATTTTGAATTTCTTAGTTCTCACGATTTATTCTCTATTTATTTATTCTCTCAATTTACTTAATCTTTTAAAAATGATAATAATACTCGTGATACTCGTAGGCTACTTTGTACAAATGTTCAGTGAATTTGGTTGATCAGTTGCCGAAAAAATACTTGGAAAAAGTGTCTCAATTTTTGGACACCCGATATATTGCCCCAAAGTTGCAAATTTGGATATACTGTATGTTGCCAAAGAGCAGATGATGAAAAATTATGCAACTTTTCCCTTGTTGCTTTGGATATTGTAGATGTTTAAGAGGCATTACATGCTAGTCATTTTCGGTGTTCTGCTGTCGACTGTTGGTGTTCGTCGTTTGTAACAAATGACAGGTAGTGACAATTTGCATGTTAATGAAGCTGTACTTACATTACGCAAGGTAATATAAGTCAAGTTAACACTTTACGTAGGACCTTTAAGTTGAATTACTTGTGTTTTATTTGAGGTTTTGGCTTATGAATCACTGATGATTCTTTCGATAAAAATGTTGTCGCCTTAATGATGAGCTTGGTACTTATGCTGTATATATAAAATGTGGGCCAACACAAATGGCCCCTTTAAGTAATTACTTCGAATTCTGAGTCATTATATTTTCATCATAATATCATATACCATTGGAAAGAAAATTCAATTTAATTCCCATACAATTATATGACCTTTACTATGGTTTGAGTCGAGGTTCCATGTTTGAGCTATTGCAGGAATGTGTTACCCATCACCAGACCTTTTCCTCGGCCTCTTCATCGGTATTCTGATCCATCAAGGTATTTCATATGACTGAATGAATACGCTGGTTGAACAGTATGCTTCATCTTAATCAGCTGTTACTGCACATATCAAGAAACATAACGATCTCAGGGTCATACGGGTATAGTATATGATGCCATATCTGATAAAAGGACGATGTCTGGCGAAAATATAGAAACTAAAACAAAGATGATTGTGATTGACTGAAAACTCTCAAATATTACACAATAATGACAAGTATGTATCGGTTGATAGAAGTATTGCAGTTACCCATATATACTAATATTTGGTCCACAAGATATGTTCGCGTGGCATGATGATGATCACTTTAAATGCAAATACAGTTCTATAATATATAGAAACTATACATGTATCATAAATGTTGTTTATCTATATAATATGCTTTGTTATTGAAAAATAAAAGATGCAGCATAATACATTGCATTTTTGTTGTACTTGGAGGCTTTTCAGCAAATATTTTTCGGATATCTTGATATCTTGAGGGATGCACCAAATCGTATCGTATTTCAAATCGTTTGAGCATGACGTCACGATTCCTGTTGTATGAATTTTTTTGAAGGGATATTTTTGCAAGACCACATCTCTCCTAATATGGTAGCTAGCAATAAACATATATACTTTCGATGCCAAGAAAAACATGAACAAATGGTTTGATATAGTCAATTTTATTCACCTAAAAATTCCAGTATGCTGCCTCATATCAAGATTTCATACAGGAAGTGATGTCATCGACTCTCAAATTTGAAAACGGGAAATGGTAATTAGCAGTCAAGGTATGTGTGAATAAAGTTTCTGACAAAAAGGTTGTAACATGGTCGTCCTGATTTTTGAACGTGCATTTTTGGGACATGAAGGCATGCATTTAGTGTGATACTTATGATGAATGATTTTTCACTGACAGTTTTCTTTGAAGACTTGTGTTCTTGAGCTGTTGCAAACATGGACTGACCACCTGCGTGTATATTGTTATCAACATGAATATTCAATAAGTTTTCTATTCTATAAAGTCATTTAGACTGGGCTTATGATTACAATTGCGTCTGGATTTTTAAAGTTGATCAAATAATGATTTTAATATGTTGAATCAGATGATGTTACAATCATTTTATCAAGTGCATTTTGACAAAAAAGTATGCAGTTTTAGGCAGTTTAGTGTGAGTTTGCTTAAATCATTGGGTCTGAGGTAAGGTTCCTGATAAATCATCGGTATGATATGATACTTCACCTGCCGGTACATCTTATTATCAAGGGTCGGTCAGGTATCATGGTCATACCACATTTGCATTTGATTTGGATATCGTGATAAAAAGATGTAACTAAATAAACTGTATAATGTAAAAAAACGAAGCACATCTACAATTCTAAATTAAAACAATTATCTCGACTCTGTAATACAACAGAAATTAATAAGCTGTTGAGGTCATTTGGAAAGTGTGTGCATTTGTGGTTGATGCATTTTTGATTTATTAGCAAGTGTGTTTGTTTTGAATAAATGCATCCGCAATGTTGAAACCATGAATTGTTTCATGTGTATCATTTCGTACTGTAGCCAAGAGGAGAATGCCATTCAGGACCACGGTGCCGATTTTATTACTGGTTCTCAGCGTTGGTTATGTTGCAACAAATTTGTGTGTAAAAGATAATCTGGCAGATTTCGGAGAAAAGATAAGGACCACATTGGTCGAATGGAAGAATGAAATTTTGGAAATTTTGGCCAACAGAGTTCAAAATTTTAAAGGTAAGCTACTTAAATCTTCGAATCACAATATGACGCCATGATCGCTGCCTTGGTGATTTCCCATAAAAAGTAACCCTAATGGCGGACTTTTGGTCACTTGGCTCATACGAAACGTTCCGCCCAGGAATGGAATGACCCAAAAAGAAGGGCTTGAGTCAAAGGAGGTAACACCTGAGACAGAGGTTTTGACGCTATTCTATATATCTAGTGAATTTTCATTTTTTACATTTGGCTAATGAGTGGATTATAAAGTCTGGTGTCTATCAGGTAAAGGCTTATACTTTTGGTCTGTAATGAAAGTTAGTAGTCATAAATAGATCGGGAAATGAATTGTTCCAACAATTCTGACGCCACATGTTAACGTGATTAACTTTGCGTTAAATCGTTGTAGGTGAATTAGAATTTGCCAGTTATTATTATTATTATATTTATTTTCCCTCCATTATTGGAGATAATTAATAATATTGTCTGACAAAAATATAATGAATATAAAAATATAAAAATATAAAATCTAATATAAGATTTGGATGTCGACACAAGGTACGCTGAGTTCATGGCCCATCTTCTCCACTCAGGCGGACATCTTCCCCAAGGTCGATGCTTCCCTCGTTGAGAAGTGGGCCACATTTAAAACATCATTCTGACTTCTGTCGTACTTGTTGAAACGGTTAAAACAATAAAATATGATATCACATAAATGCATCTCGTTGCCAATTACAATACATACTTCCCTTTGCCATTGCATGAAATTTACTTCTTCCAAAAAGTACTATATACAAAATTATTACCAAGATTCAATGGTGTTGCCACGTGCTCCAAACAGAGCGAGAATTTGGGGATACGGAATTTATATACCTCTCGGGAAAACTGTCAAAATTAATGCAGCTGGCAAAAAATACACTGCTTTGATTAAAAAAGATGGTATGTACTTTATTGTCAGGTTTCAAAAGTTATTTACAAAACATGTCCTATTAAAGAGAGATACCATTATTTCGTATCAATTGGAAAATGGAAAAATGTATAGCACCAATAACAATCATATGAAAAGGGCCGCCGGTTTCGGTCCTCGAGCAAGTTATCTAAAAATGAAAAAGCTAAAGAGGACAATCCGTTTAAAAATAGTTAAAATATAGTGTTTACGCATGATTGGCGCGAGCTACTTCTTTTGCATAAAGTTAGTTCTTCATCTGTTCGTGGCTTTGTAGACACATGGGAAGTGGTACTTGATGCGATTACCTCGAAAGGTCCATATACGATCACAGTGTCATATTCTGAGAATCAGATTAAGCTGAGAGACGTATTGTTTGGAGACATATGGTTATGTTCCGGCCAAAGTAACATGGGATATGAATTAGGACGAGTATGTATTTTAAATACAATAGAAAGCTTTCGATTTAAAGTTGTTTGGAATACGTATACGCAAACTTGTAATTGTACTCTGAGGGGGGGGGGGGGCTCTGGAAACGATGATAGGGTGCTTTCATTGATGGGATATTCACAAATCAATTCCCTCGATTATTATTATTATTATTATATTTATTTCGCCTCCATTTTTGGAGATAATAATAATTGATTATTACAATACATATAAAAGACACATACAAAAATAAAAACAATTAAAATGTTTATTTACAACCAATCCCTGATGTTGACGGACGTCAGGCTACCGCGTTGACGCCGTCAAGTTACTACTATCTGTTACATACAATAAGAAAAACAAGTTCTCCACCTAATATTTGCTGTTGACGGACGCCAGGCTACCGCGTTGACGCCGTCAGTTAACCTACACTTTACCTATTACCCTTTAGCTACAATAAGATATTGTCCACCTACACGACGGCAGATTTCGCAGCCCCAGCTGGCCATTTCAATTTATGCTTTTGACGCACGGAGTAATTGATAGATAGCGCTGTTTTTATAAAATCGATAATCACGTGATAATAAACTGAACCAATTCGAGGAAAACTACGTCACAAATACATAGGCGAAATGTACATGCAAATCTTTAAATCTGTACTGTACAGCCGAAAATACATTTTAATCCAGTCCAGCTGTCCAGCGATCGGAAAACGGGGAAACTTTTTCTAATGAAATTTACTTTCCTATTTTCTTTGAGAAACCTCCCCTCTCCAGTGGTGTTTACGACATTTAAAAGTTAAAGTTGCACTATAAGTTTGGCTGAAAGTTCTCTACTATCTCAAATATGTACGCGGAAATTCTACTACAAAAGCTAGAGGAGAAAATCTAACAAAATATTGAAAATCAAGTTTCGGCTTATTGTTTCTTCTTTTCTTATTGAATGAATGGACTTGTTTTGAACAAGTCCATTCAAAACATATTAGAGAAACCTAAAATTGTTTACATCAATGGCACGCAGATGAGTATCCCTTAAGAAGACAAACAAGAATCTGTAGGTTGAAACATGGACGTATATCATCTGGATATACGTCCATGGTTGAAATAATAGCTGAGAGTATAAGAAATATATGTATTTTAGATTCCGAATTCCACAAATGAACTTGAAGACTCAAAGAATTTCCCAGATATTCGCATGCTACTAATCCCAAAGAAACGTAAGGTTGAACCACAAAATGACTTTGACGAACTCATACCAATGTGGGAGACAGCAAGGAATACACGTATGTGCACACGCGGTATTAACTTCGACCGTTAATTTGAATTTTTGACCTACCAGATGCTTGAAAATCAAGGATCGCGAGTCTCATACTGCACCGTTTTTCTTCAAACTTATACCATTAAAAGCAAAACAAAATTGCCTTTCTGTCGGTGCATCACTTTATTGTAAAGAGTCCCTCGTTCTAGCAGCGTTTTGGTCCCCAGCTGTTAAAAGGCCTTCTTACAGCTGGGGACCAAAATGCCGCTGGAAGTAGGGACTCTTTTTAAGAGAATAATGTACCAACAGAAAGGAATTTTTGTTATGCTTTGAATGGAACAAGTTTGAAGAAAAACGGTGCATTATGAGACTCGTAATCCTTGATTTTCAAACATCCGGTAGGTCCGAAATTCAAATTAACGGTCGAAGTTAGTACCGCGTGGTGCAGGGGCGCGCGTTTTCCTATATCAATAACCCAGATGCGAGTAGAAATAAGGCCATAAGAAGTAGATTCTTTGTTTTGCGTCCTAGCAAATTCCAAATCATGCAAGGGTACAAGGAAAACAAACACAAACCCAAGAAAAAACACAAACTTGTTTGCTGAGGAATGTATACATTTTATGGGCATAAAAAGGGATGACAAACCAATTTGCAGTTATTACAAACACATATCTATACAATTTATAAGATATATTTAAACATAGGTATTATTCAAGGGTAAAAAATAAGAAAATACACAATGTATGCCAAAGTAATCAACAATGCTGTCAATTTTGACGCACGCCAAATTATCCACTATTTCGTCTGATTCTTATTGAACAAGATGCGATTGTACTTTCAGACCCTTGTGATTGCTATTTGAATGTGTTTGTTTTTTCTGATTTACTCCAAATCGTGCAAGCAAGGGGACGCAAAACAAAGAATTTACTTCTTATGGCCTAATCTTGATTTACGTCATTAAAAATTCAAAATTCAGTCAAAGTAATATCATATTTGAAATCTACATGTAAAATTACATCTAGAAATGTGGTTTTAAAAAGTGTTTATCAACTTTGAAAAAACAATTTTCTTTGAAAATGTGACTTCTAGCTCGGGGAGATTCCCCATAGACCCCATGCTATAAAATCACAAAAAATGAAATATCTTTGCTTTTAGTGGACAGATAATATTTTGCTTTACTGGACATATTTTCATTAGTATAAGTATCAGACACATAAGGGTTATATGAAAATCGAGCCACTTAAATTGATAATATTCAAGTTTAAGGGAACTTTCTTATATACCTGCCATGTTAATTGACCCGAATCAGCCACCTGGTGGTGAAACTGGTAACTACCTACTCGCATTTGGGTAATTAGAATTGCGTATTTGATTCAGCACGTTCGTTATCTGAGAAAAAATGTAAACCCATATAACTTGTTCGAGCATCTTGCTCTATGATTTTAGAGTTACAAGATGATTTTCACTAAGACTCCATATAGGTCTACTTCAAACCCGAATTTCTACGACAACTTAGTTAAATTCGATTAAAACGAAAAATATTCACATCAATACTTCGAAAGGCATTTCGAAAGGCAATGTAACATTCTAATTTGATTATATTTGTATAGAGAAATTATCTTCGTTTTCTGCGGTTTGCTGGTTATTTGGAAAAGAAATAAACAAGAAAGAAAATGTTCCTGTCGGATTAATAGATAGTGATTGGGGAGGATCACCTATCGAATCATGGATGTCTGCAGACTTACTCAAGAAATCAAATTGTAGGATTTCCAACAGGTAATTCCTATCGAGACTCACGCGAGACTCAATTAATTTAGTCATGTAATAGACCTTTCATATGTATCCTGCCACCTTTTTGTAGATGAATGAATCTAGGATATACGGGTGTATTGGCTAGATTGAGTATGCCATTGGTTGTTGGCAGAAGTCTGTCCAAGCAAAAATAGGATTTACTTATCTCTAAGAACAACAAATGACATCTAGGCAATATATCATACAGGGTGTTCCAAAAGTAACAGGACTGGTGCTGGCATTTTGTTAAATATGCACCAATCGTCTTTAAAATTTTACATAATGTACTTTTATGTATCGTTACTAAAATTAGAAATTTTCGACAAAAAATATGTAACTCAGGTAGAGTTATTGTTGCTATGGTAACATGACATCACAATACCCGGGGCAACATTCACAGAAAGTTACATTAAGACAGAAAGATACATTAACCATTTTGTACATCCCATATCAAAGTTAAAATGCAAAAACTGGTGGGCATTACATTTGTTTTACATAATTTGATATTCCTATGTATCCTATGTACTTTGAAAAATAGGCTCCTCTTTGGTCAGTAGAAGAGTAGCACTCTGTTTCCATGACTCAAACGCATGAGTGAACCCATTTGAGGACATGTCACGCATGGTCGATTGAACAACTTGGAGAAGCTCAATCTCATTTTTAAAGATCTTACAGCACTGATTAGCATTCCCTTCTCCATGTAAGTAAAAATTGGATGTTGCATGATCAGAAGAGTATGGTGCATGGTTTTAGAACTCAAGACCTAACTCCTCTACAGCTACATGGTCTTTAATGGTGACCTGCGGGCAGGCGCTTTATCAAGGTGGATGACTGGCTTCAAATTGGTTATTTTCAAAAACTCAACCATGAATTGTTCAGACTGTAATTCATAGTGATATTCCAAGAAATTGAATAAATATTATTATTATGAAATTATACTTGAATTTGAGTTTTATAGCAACACCTTTACAACAAAGACACTAATAAAATAAACAAGAAATGTTGTATTATAATAGGTGTATTAGATACTTTCTTTAGTAATACAAAAATGTTAGATATCACATTTTCAGAAAAAAGTTGCCCCGGGTATTGTGATGTCATGTTGCTATAGTAACCATAACTCTACCCGCATTTCATCATTTTTTCTGAAACTATACAATTTTAGTTGCAATACTTCAAAGTACAATTTGTGAAAATTTGAAGACACTCGGTGCAAAATTGACAAAATGCCAGCACCAGTCCTGTTACTTTTGGAACACCCTGTAGGTTCTTTGATGTGTCAAAAGGTGGCATGATTTACCGGAAATGTCTTTTGAATCCCGAAAATAATATCATTAAACTCTTGAATTTGTTATCAGTTAAATGGGTGCTTTGAGATATATATTTTCGTTTCAAAAGTGCTGCACCAAAAGGCGAACTGTGGAATGCTATGATCCATCCCTTGCTTCCGTTGGGTATATATGGTGTAATCTGGTACCAAGGTAACATAATAGTAACTGCCCTACTGTTAAACACGTGAAATGTAAATGGTGTATACAGGGTGAGACAAAAAATTCATTTTGCTGTAACAAATTTAAAATAAAGCATCGAATACAACCATGTACGTATGAGATTAAATGAGACTACGCGTAGGGTAATAACCATTTCCACCTTACTTAAAATCTATATCACTATACCTTTAAAATGCCACTTGTTCACAGGTGAATCAAATGCATGGAATCCTTCTCCATATTCCTGTTTATTCCCCGAAATGATTAAAGACTGGAGGAAGAGGTTCAATGAAAGAGGAGGAAGTGCTCTGGATTTTCCATTTGGATTTGTTCAAGTATGCGTAATTTTGTAATTCCCTGTGTTTTCATTGGGTTACAGAGCGAGAGTAAATCATATCCTGATAAAATCTGACTTTTTAGCGAATGTAATTTTGGATCGTGCATCCATGTGATATTTAATATCAAAATTAACAAAAATATACTTAAATTCTATAAAAGTAAGGGTTATGTTGTATTTGTCAGCTTGCCGCTTGGGACGATAATCTGAGTAAAAATAATAACTGGCATACAAATTTCCCGCATATTCGCTGGGCCCAAACAGCTAGAATAGGATATGTACCGAATGACGTCATGCCAAAGACATTCATGGCAGTCGCGATGGATACCCCTGACTTCGGCCATAATGGGTAATTGTATTTTGATCTACATGTTCACCTGTCCGAATACATCATGAGAGTCATGAAGTTTGATGTCTTTAACTTTACACTGGGGAAGAAAACATCAGTTGGCGATGTTCCCGTTCGTTTGTGCTCATACGATTAATAAATGAATCGGACTTCCATCCGAAACAAATCGAGTTCCCATTCTTTCATGTATTTCCCAGTGCCTTAACAATGTCAACTGCCAATTTTGATTCTCGGCTTTCCCCCCAAATTATTATTTCACATTTGCATTAAAGCATTCACCCACGTTTTAAACGACCCGTTGCTGAGCGTCTTGTATATGGAGCCCTTCACGTTGCTTATGGTAGACACAATGTAAAACACCAAGGACCGTTCCCGACCAAATATTTAAGACGGGGTAATCGAAAAATACAAATAACATTCGACGAAGGAGATACACCTCTTAAGTTTGGAACAACGGGGTTATTTGAGGTAAAAACAATGCAAAACAATAAGTCAATTGAGTTCTTTTTGAGACCAAGGTAGCATTCGCGAATTCATCTGACGGCTGAGGGATAAACTCACTTAAATATGAATAGTGCCTGCCATATTCCATTCATATTTAGATGAGCTGGCCATGAAAACTATGTCAAACCGTCAACCGGCGGTTGAATGCTACCTTAAATTATCCTGTTCTATAGGTGTCGTAACAAGCATAATCATCAAAAGAATGTACATTGTATAAGTAGTAATATGTTCAATTAAAGGTATGCTGTTCCCTTGACAAACTAAGAATGTGTTCAGACAATGATAACAGGTGGATCAAGGCAAAGCTTAAAACTACCCAACCATCGGGAGTTATAATCTCACATTTGTGCAGCAAAAAAGTATTTGGAGTTCGTTACGCCTGGCAGGAGTCGCCCTGTGGCTATAAGGACTGCGCCGTATATAGCGTTGAGAATAACCTGCCCGCTCCACCGTTTGTATACCATGGGAAGATTTAATTTCAACTTCGTATATGCAGTTTGATTATTCTTGCATTATTAATAAATGTATAATTGAAACACTTACTCTATTGTCCTCTCGATTCATCAACGATACAAATGTACATACAACGCACACCATCCTGCGTACGCAGGCCTCCAAAATCCAGAATACCTTCTTTGTTTTTACCCCCAGCCCCTATTGGAAGTAGGCTCAATGAATATACTTAGCAGCGGCAAGTAGACAGCACGCCCGACATACAGCCACCATGGAACCTTTCTACGGTTTGGCAAAGGTTTGTTAACTTCTAGTAACCGTAATAATGAAAAATTATAACTACTCGAGTTATAATTTATACGGCAACACTTGGAGTGCCTGTAAAAATGGATACGGAGGCCGTAGATTTCCACGGTCGCCGTACATGCCGTAGGGCAAATGTGACTGAGGCTAAATACATACATCGTTTCAATACATTCGCCTATGAGTAACTCGTTCAAAGATTCTACTATTTTTTGTCCCTTTGGGATGAATTACCCTTTGATGACCGGTGTGAAAGAAATGATGGTCCCCCAGGGATTATGGTCCCCCTTTTTAACGGCCCTTACTGGCTCTGATTGCGTATAAGATAATGAGGGAAAGAGTTGTATTTAGGTCACCATATAAATCAATGGAGAGTAGGACCATAATTTGATAGGACCTCCTACCCTTTTATACCGGAAAGGCCAACCAATCTCAAGATTTAAAACATTAGTACGGGGTAATAGGAGCCCATATGACAACACTTTTTAACTGGTCAGTGACCCAACTTGCATACGTGGAGCTGTATTTACAACAGACAACCAATCATTTTAAAGTACTATAGCATAAAGTTAATTTCTATTATTTCGGGAAAGTAGACTCAATATTATAAATTGGTAAAGGTTTTAAGAAGTTCATAGTCATTATATTTTTCATGGTTTGGATATTTTAAATCAATATTATTCATACACTTTTGTTAGCAAATAATAAATTTGATTTACAAATGTGACCAAGCATAAGACATTATTTATAAGATTTGAGCCATATCTAAGGGCGATAGAAATCATTTTTATATAAAGATGGCATGGTAATCAATTTGTGTTTATCCATGAAAAAGATAATACTGGATTCTGTTGGTGCTGCCCTCTTTATATCGGCCCAGAACCTATGATTTGAACCAAATTTGTCAACTAGATTTGAATTATTATTGCCCCAAAAGACGAACTAACAGGGGAACAGATGGACAAACTCATGACCTGCTTCACAATAGCCCTACATACTTTGGTGAGATAATTAGAATTTGTGGTAGGTATACATGATTTATTAGAACAAATCATCATACAGCAAATGCAGAAATAGTAAAAATGATTGTCAAATATAGTGTGTGTAATGTAATGTACTATTCTAGAATTACATTAAGATTAGGTGACATTTATTTAGCTACTAGTGTCTCCCCTCTTATTTTACTCCCTTGCTTTTCTGAATCTTATACAGATATATAATTTATAACTTCTTCTATACGATTGGATGTCTCAATCATTTTTTTAGTTATATAGAATTCAGAATGATAAAGAAACGATCCCCTCTAATTCCTTAGATGATTTGCTCCAGTGAACAGTTTGCATACAAAAATACAAGTATGAACATAGTCATAGTCACTACATATTGTGAACATGCGATGAAAAGTTCTTTACAACCAAATAAGATGTTCATCCTTAACAAGTCTGGGGAGATCACCAAAGAGGAGAGAATATTCGAATGACGTCAACACCTTGGTTGTACCAGACACAGGGTCAAATTCAAACACCTTCTTATTACATACATTGGGGGCTGTAAAACCTCCAAATGCCAATATTTTGCTGCTTCGCACCAGCAAGGTTGGAGCTGTGAGAACCAGAAATACTATGTCGTGTAAATCAGTCCACTGGCTTGTTTGTGGACTATATTTTGAAATAGTTTTGCCCCAAAAGCAGTAAATTTCCTCATTGCAACACGCTCCACGAATACCGTAATATGCAATGTTGTCTGCATCTGCGTTGAGTGAAGAAGTGGGTAACTTCGGCCCCATTGATATTTTGCCTTCTCTGGTGTTATATATTTGGAGAAATTGGCTATTACTTCCATCCACAGTAAGGCCACCAATTATGTACAGGGACCCTTTCAGAGCAACTGTCAAATGTCCAAACACTGGATGAATCAAAGTGGTAATAGCTCCTTGGGGTGCTTGCCAGACATCTTTTCTCCAATCATACATGTCAATCTGAGAACTGACAGTGACATTTGCCGCCTCACCTCCAATCAAATATATGTAATCACCACATAATGTTAAAGTGAATGATTTCAAATACCCAGATCTACTATTTGAAGCTCTACACTTCTTCCAGCCTTTGCTTTTAAAGTTGCTGTCATCTTGCTTATATGTGTTCCGGTACAGTTCCCCACCTCTTAGGTATTTGTAAATGTTTTGTCCGACCAAACAGACTCTGTCTTGAAGCAAGTAGCTCCCTAGGGACTGTAAATATGCACAACATGTCATTTCAAAAGTTTGCACTTTGGATAAGGTTTCTCTGATAACGCTGATAGAAATGTCATCACCACCAAAAATAGTTGAAGCACAAATTGATGTCTCACAGTTCCTTGGTTTGCATCTGTAATAGTGTTCTTCATGCTGGTAACACGGTGTGGTTTGATGACGAAATGCACCTATAATATAGTTATTCAGACACGGGAACTGATTGGTCAATGCATGTGTATAGATTTCATCGCTTAAAACTTTGGACTTTATGAAACAAAACCTGACACATTCAAAAAGCTCCAAGGCATGCACTTCTCGCTCTTTAGTCTTGGACATCCAGCGATCTACAGCATAGAAAATATTTTCTTCCTCAGTGACAACTAGCCTGTCATCTCCAAGGTAACTGACAAGACTGTTTTTTCCAAGTTCAAGTAATCCATCCGTTTTCCATACATTGTCAAAATTGAGCAACGCATGTTCATTTGCTGTTTCAGCTAGCTTAGGTTGCCCTATAAATTCAGCTGTCTGGACTATTTCAAGGCAATTGTCATCTGCTATGTTCAACCTGAGGTAATCAGCCAAAATGTCCTTCATTCCATTTTCAATCTGGAACATATCAACAGCTTTTAGAGTTTCAAGTGCCTGCTTGGCGCTAAGGTTAGTGGACCTTATACCTATGTCACTGTTATCCTTGAAGTCATAATAAATGAAACGCAAAATGTGTTCCATTGCAACACTTGAGACGTCTTTCAGCTCAATGGTTTTCTTTGTAGTTTCAGCCATGCCATTTGTCAACAATGAATTGAAGTAAGGAGAGTTAGCAGCCAGGATTATCTTATGGCAATTGAATTGTTTCCCTTCAACTTCTAATGTAATATCGGTGAATACATTGTCCCGCCAAAGTTCATTTAGCTGAGTCTTGAAATATATGACATTCATCTGGCCTGCCGTAATGTGTTCAGGGAGACTGTCAGATATAGAATCTATGTGTCCTTCACTCCCACTTGACGACATTGTAATGATCTGAAATTACAAAAACCGTGTATCAGCATAATACTCCCGGGGGGTTCACTATATATAAACCTTGACGGGGATCCTCGGCGCATGTGGGGTACCTTTTTCAACGTTTGGTATGGCAATGGACCCATATTTTAGGATTTGGTATGGGAATGCCCGGAAATTTCTGACTTCTGAGGTATGGCAATGGTCGGACTTTTGCTCTTCTGGTATGAGAATGGTCGTTGTAGATACGTTACCTAACATTCGTGGTATGGCATTGGTCCAGTAGTTGCAAATTTGAAGTTGTTTTGGATCGTTTCCCGAAGTATCTTCTTTTCCAGGGCCTTCTTCAACTTTTGAATTTTATATACAGTTTTGAAGGCGGTAGACCTAGATTATTTTCCGTTATCCCTGATTTTCTCAACGGGTTTGTGGATTTTTCTTAGAAATTTTTTTTTATAAAATTAAAAATCAACATTTTCAAATCGTTTAAATAATACAGGGGAAATAATTATATTTTCATTCTGAATTGTTAATTTTATGCATATAAATGTACACGTTAATGAACTTGTTTAAATTAGAAATTGTGGGCTTTCAACTTTGTGGTAAAACTTGAGCCTGCTGTAGGCCTAGATCTACTCCCAGGGATCTAGGCTACTGTAGGTCTCAGGGTCTTTCAATGAAAAGTGTGGGTCGTGTTATTTTGGTCATTTATGACCCCAACTACATATGGCATTTGTCCTTGATTTGAGGTATGGCGATTGGTCCTGTATTTGCACATTTGTATGACATTGATCCTATATTTAATTTACTTTGAATTAAGGTATGGCATTGGCCCGGGGGGTTCACTATATATAAACTTTGACGGGGATCCTCGGCGCATGTGGGGTACCTTTTTCAACGTTTGGTATGGCAATGGACCCATATTTTAGGATTTGGTATGGGAATGCCCGGAAATTTCTGACTTCTGAGGTATGGTAATGGTCGGACTTTTGCTCTTCTGGTATGAGAATGGTCGTTGTAGATACGTTACCTAACATTCGTGGTATGGCATTGGTCCAGTAGTTGCAAATTTGAAGTTGTTTTGGAACGATTCCCGAAGTATCTTTAACTGAAATCGAACATTTTATGTGATGTATCGCTATGAGTAAAAGTGTGAGTCGTGTTATTTTGGTCATTCATGACCCCAACTACATGTACAGTATGGCATTTGTCCTTGATTTGAGGTATGGCGATTGGTCCTGTATTTGCACATTTGTATGACATTGGTCCTATATTTCATTTACTTTGAATTAAGGTATGGCATTGGTCCCATATTTGGACATTTGGTATGGCATTGGTCCTACATTTTGACATTTGGTATGGCATTGGTCCCATAATTGGACATTTGGTATGGCATTGGTCCTATATTTGGACATTTGGTATGGCATTGGTCCTATATTTGGACATTTGGTATGGCCTTTGGGCGTTATTTTGGTTGGTATGGGAACATATTGAAATTTGACAGATTGGTATGGGAACATATTGATATTTGAGGCTTCAGCCTAGGACCCCCGTCGAGTTTTATATACAGTGAACCCCCCGGGGGCATTGGTCCCATATTTGGACATTTGGTATGGCATTGGTCCTACATTTTGACATTTGGTATGGCATTGGTCCCATAATTGGGTATTTGGTATGGCATTGGTCCTATATTTGGACATTTGGTATGGCATTGGTCCTATATTTGGACATTTGGTATGGCCTTTGGGCATTATTTTGGTTGGTATGGGAACATATTAAAATTTGACAGATTGGTATGGGAACATATTGATATTTTAGGCTTCAGCCTAGGACCCCCGTCGAGTTTTATATACAGTGAACCCCCCGGGATAATACTCAAGCACTGAAGCAGAACTTTCTTTACGTCATTCCACGCTTTTCCAACAGAAAAAATTACATGTACAAAAGCCCACACACGTTTAGATCCAATATAAAAACGATCCAAAAGTGTATATAAATACGATGGTAGGCTGTTTTATAAAGCAAACATTGTATAGATGAACATGATGAAAAGAAACTTACATTTTGATTTTTAACTTTAAACCGGAAATCAGTTTTCACTGAATTTCCGAACGTCTAAGAAAATTTTAAGAGGCACATTCACCCAACATACCCAAAGTGATTATAGTCATACCTGTAACATAAAAGATGGTCTCAGGTCATACTATCTACACAACCAAAACCACAAGATATTATCTCCACACATCCAGAGTGACAATAATTTCTGGCACAATCCGATATCATCTCCGGATCCAGAAATTCAGTAAGGGCATGCATCCCATTCTGATTTATCAGAGTCCCTCTTTACCTACCGCTTTTGAGAACTATTCCAAAAGGATAGTAAAGGCTGTGGATCCCACAATGCATGCATCCGGGCTTTCAATTAGATAGTTGAAAGCCCATGATAAGGGGAAGGGGGGCCAAACATTTGAGTCTGGAAAAAAGGAATTTGGGCCCCTAAAACCAAAAATTGGGTCAAAATTTTGAAAATTTAAGGCTCATTTAAAGATAAATTGGCCCAAAAGACCTAAAAAGGCCACACTATGCCCCAAAGACCCATTTTAGGCCCGACAAAATGCTGGGGCCTTAAAACTAAATTTTTTCTGGGCCCACTAAAGGGGAGAGGGGGGCCTCCGACACTGGTCTCGATACAACTATATTTGGTACAGCCAAAACCACAATTACCTCGACACAACCTGAGTGACCGTGATTGTTTCTGGCACAACCAAAATCACGATCATCATTTATGGCACCATCAGAACTTATATTTCTGGCAGAGTCACAACCTACGAGACACAAACGTAAATTTAGAGTTGTATAGCCTGGAAAACATTTACGTCAAACTGGATATGTAATCACATGTAGCGTTCACCATGGCAAAATGTTGGAAAATTTATTTTTTCCATATGAAAATAATTTTTGTAAATTGAGCCTGGCCGGTCTTATCACAAAGATTAAAATTCTGCCACAGAGCCAAAAATGTACTCAAGATAAGAGGAACATGTGCTAAATTCAAATCCGACTTTGCGGTCTATATATGCAAGGAAAAATTATATGACTATTTTTTTGACAATGAAGACATGTTTATCTTTTAGATCAATTCATTATCTCAAAAAAAATTATATACAGTAATAATAAAGTCTAACAAACTCGGAGATATTTAACTAGCAATCAACCCATCAACACACTTTTTCAAAGATGTTGACCCCATTTTCACCAAAAATGCAATCATTTTTTACAATGTTTAATGCATTTCTACCTATTCTTTATTTTGATGTATCAAATAGTTATTGAAAGAAAAACTTAATTGCTTTAAGATAAGGGTTCCCCATGTTATTTCTCCATTGAAAAATCTCATGCTATCCATTGGTTTCAGTTCATTTTAGTCATCCACATTCAATATCTTTAAAGTCCCTGGAGCAATCAACGTTTCCTTTTAGGAAATCGAACATGTCTCAAAGCACATAGGCTAAGTCTTATTATGCATTCAAAAATATAATAAAAGGTTGCATTTTTGGTGAAAATAAGGTCAACATTTTTGAAAAAGTATGTTGATTGGTCTATTGCCCCTTAAATATCACTTAGGTCTGATTAACTAAATTATCATTATATATACTTTTCTTGAAGATAATGAATGGATCTAAAAGATACACCCATGTTCATGATAAAAATATTCATAATTCAAGTCAGAATCGTTTAAAATTGTTTCCGATAACATATATGCGCCTTTTCAAAATTGTGTAAGGTTTTGGAGGCGAATGCGACGAGCAATAAGTTTACCTTCATTTAACCTTCTAATTTAGGTCTGATTTGAAAGAAAAATTAACCGCACAATATCGTCATGGCGAAATTTACAAAACAATAACCAGTTTATTTATTTTGCATATAATATTGAAATAAGAGCTGGTTTTCAATACTTTAAAAAAATGTGACGCATGTGATTTTTTGACCACAAATTCCATACATATCAATTTTTACTAACGTCCCAAGTGGATTTCTTGACCGTTTTTCAAAATTCAAAAACATTTTAGAAATATTGTCATCGGGATCTTGCTGCCATGTGAATTTTGTCATGATTAGATAAGAATAAATATTTTATTTTTAGGTTGACAAAACTTTAAAAAATGTGATGCTTGTCGTTTTTGACGTTGTAAGTTTGCTCATTGGTTTGTTTTAGTTTTTGACGCCATAATGTTACGTCCCCAGTTTCGTGCGACGTGTATGTACAGTAATATTCTTTCCAAAGAGAATGATGTATGTCATAAATGTTTTAGCTCCAAATATCTTACGAAAACGAGATTGTTTAAAATATGTATCAGAAAAACCAGCTCGTATAGAGAACTATCAATGGCATATTACATGCCACGGTGTAGTCTAAGTAATCACTGTACCTGAACGGTGAGACATGCAGTGAACAAGGTGTCCCGTAAGTATGCCCCCCAATGTCTCTCTAGTATGTGTCATATATCATTTTAAAGCTCATCCAAAGTTGCATTGATAGGCAGACATATACCAATGTCTCCATAGTGTCATATATCATTTTAAAGATCATCCAAAGTTACATTGATTTGTCAATTATTATGGCTCAACTCACAAATGGGAAAAAGTAACAGGCATTTCAAAATTTAGTATCTGGCCAAAATTAAGTTCAATTTTACACCAGATTGATAGTCAGTGTGTTAACAGCAGCAATCTTAATGTTACTATCCCCATATTATATATTCATAATATAAGGGGTGGTATTTTACATTTTGACGAGTTTTCAACGAGGCCCAAACAGCCAGGACCAATTGTGCAAAGTATGGACCCAAAATGGAAATGGCCAGATAAAGGGCAGTTTTCAGTTTGTCTGAAAAATTATTGAGGGACACATGGATTATGGGACAACTGGGTGGGTGATTCTAGAGTTTCACAATGTGAGCCAAAAACAAAGTGTTCCCTGTCTCTGTTCTCAATTTCAGACATAAACAAACATGTTGTGATAAAACAAACAAACAAACAAGTCAATTACACTTATTAACAGTTTATTGCATTAAATGCAACAACAATACAATAGATGGGTTGTGTTCAGTGTCTATATAAGGTCAAGATTGGATATGTTATCCTATACTCTTTACTCATTGGCTATCATAGAACTCATATACTTTCTATCAATGCGTAGTCTTACAATATGATCCTTGAATCAAATTTAAACATCTAATCGTTTATTCTTTCATCATTCTTGGTCTCAATTTGCGCAGTAAATGTGAAAGCTGATATTGCATACTTGACAGTTTTTGGAAGCTGAAATTGCACATTTTGAGTTTCCATAGTGGCACCATTTTTTCTGTTAACAACGCATACACAGCACAACGCACAATGTTTTCTTGAACACCTAAACACCAAATGAACTTTAAACCAAATTTTAAACAATGTATATGAAATTTGAGCAAATTGAATTTCATAATGATGAGAAAAACGACCAATGAAGTTCTACTAGTTTACAGGTCTTTGAGGTGTGTTGTCATAGCAACCCGACTAGACAATATGGTTGCTATGACATGAAAGATGATAAATATTCCAAAGTACTATACACTGTGTACAATTAATATAAACATTACTAAGTGACTAGTTTGTCTTCAAATGACAAGCCTGTACAATATTCTAGCATAGCTGCTGCTTCCCCATATATAAAACGACAATGGTCACGCTTAATTTCACAGAATAGTGACAGAGAGAGGACTAATCAATGAACCAGGAATGAAGTAAACCAAGAAATCTGAATTGTGTAAAGGCATGTAGAACAGTAGAAATGCCTGGAATTTGATATTTGTCCTAGAAAATGGCGTGCATGACCATAGTGATGTTATATTTATGGTTTTAAACTAGATTTCAAACCTGAACACTGAAATGGTGCAGACACCTGCTTCTTTAAAATATTGGTTTTTGAAATTTAAAATTGACCTTAACTCTCAAGACAATAAATTGATTGTAATAACAAATTTGAAAGTATTGTATTGATTCTAAATCACAATGCACAACATGGAAAACTCCCATGCATGATTTGTACATGCTCATTCAATTGCTTCGGAAAATACCAGATAGAATAGACTACTGAAAGAATACAGTTTACACTAGTATAAGGTATAGCGTATCCGCTGGATGTAACATATGCAATATAGCTACTTTATTATTTACAAGTGACCAATAGGTCTTGGTTCAGATCTGTATAAGATAAACAAAGTGCCTGTGGAATCAGTTGTAGACAGATCAGTATAAGGCCATAGAAAATTAGTTCTGATGATACAACGCAAGTAAAATAACCTCAGAATTTCCTTTATATGGCCTAACTACATATAAAATCATTTTATATTGTCATGAATCGCTCGTATGGAAGCATTAAGGCTTAAAACAATGCAGATGAAAATTCTTCACTTTTGTACATGTTTGAAGTATTTCCAATGCACCGTTGATTCCACTATATCATATGAAAATCAAAAAATAATTGACATTAATTTGACAACACAAATCGGCAAGATGGGTTGATTGTATAAAATAGACATTCACATTTGTTATATATTAACATATATTATCTACTTCGATCATATTTAGGGGACTTGCTTGCTTAAAATAGTATGTCCTAAAATGTTTAACGAGGTCTTCATATAAAATTCAAAATCAGTTCTTAAATCAGTTAAGTAAGATCTAAAATATCCAGAAATAATATTGCAGTCAATTTATCAAATTTTCTTCGTATTTTCATCATAAGTGAATTGTTTTGTATTTTAATATAACAAGTCCCCTAAAGTCTAGATTGATTCCACAAGCCTGGCCTACTACTGTACACAAGAGCACCTATAGAAATCATGTCAAATAGGTCACCTAGGTCAATAGGAAAACACTATCGTTAAATAGGTCCCCTAGATGCCTAGGAAAACACTATTGCTGAATAGGTCCCCAACTGAGAAGGGCAACACTATTGCACCCATTGAAATAAAAAATATGCATATTTATTCTTTGCTCCTGTCATAATTAACGCAAGATTTTCTCCAGAAAAACATTTTCAGTGGATATTTAAAATAGTTCAATTAGAACAGATTGTATTTTAATTATTTCTATTATATGAACAGGAGCAAATTGAGAGATATACATACAAGAAAGTGCTTTGTAAGATGATACTTTTCATTTTACTCATTGCAATATATAAATAGTATATGTATATATATATATTAACTTTGTACAAGGATGTATGTAGCAAATGACAATATTATTTATAATGGTCACTGTTGACAAAATATAACATCAACTACAGATAAACAGTATCCATAGAAATACTCATTAATATCCTAACAATAATATTAATAATACAATTCCAAGTGTCTGTAAATTACGGTACCATTATCTAATTTGTATAAAATGTTGATCGGTTGACAATGCTTAACAATTGTGAGGGATTAGAATGATAAACCAAACATAAAATATATAAATGCTGTTTACAAAGATTCAAATTATTTTGTATAAATGCTGTTTACAAACATTGAAATTATTTTGTATAAATGCTGCGGCTCTATTGCACTCAGGGTGATGATTTTTCAATGTCATTTACACATGTGTTATCAACTAAATCGAAATAAACTGATTAGAATTGAAAACAAATATAAATGAAATTCATGATACAGAATGCTGAAATTAATGATCAAAATTAAAACCCTCTGGTTTGTTTTCTCCAATTGATGAACATTGTCAAATAGTAATATAATATCATATGTTGGATTTCTGGGATATCTCCCTTGGCAGAGGATATCATATTTATCCACTGAGGATTTTATCCATGTAAAGTTAAGACCAACGTAATATATTACTATACTAAATTGCTATTTACAAGTTTAAAAAGAACTCACTAGAGAGAATATATCGAAAAAATAAAGCTACAAAGTTTGTGTAGTCATAATTAAAGTGTCCCGCTCCCGCTCTGCCTGATTTTGCTATCACGGCAAGCCTAAGGAAGCAAATTCTACCCATAGAGGGCTCTCATTGCACTGTTCTGAAAACTTATGAGCACCGTGTGACTTTATACTTTATACAGTATTAAACATGTTCCCTGGTCTGCTTAACCCTGGAGTGAATACCTTCATCTTGCTCTCGTTCCGTTCTCCCGTATGTACACTTCAGAATTTAAGATATATTTGGCATATACTGATTGTATAGAAGATATACATTAATACTTGTAAATAGCCAATTCATAAAATGCTACTCTACCCATCAATGTTAGATTCACTATCAACCTTTCAATGAAGCACTGAATTCTCAATATTTCTATATTGATTTCATACTATGCCTTATATCAAGTTCATCCCTGAATGATTTCTCATTATTTTAATTATTTACTTGTTCTTCTTGAAAAACATGGCTATAATAGCATTTCATCAATGGAAAAAGCTGAATAAATAGAACACATCATTGTAGATGTGTCTTGAGATTGCAAAGTTTATCCCTAATAATAGGTGCCCGCTTGAGGTGATGATCTGATGTAACGTCACTACTGTACTGAACAGTGATGCAAAGTGACATACGCAATGATTATCTGTGACATCACTGAACCGCATATGATCAGATGGTATGAAGCTGTTGCATCATTATTTTTGAAGGTATTCAGGACATTATTCAAGTTTAACTGAAATTGCTAAACTGCACATCTGATTTTATAATGCGACAAAATCCACAAAAATATGACACAAATTAGGCTGGATGTTACAGCTGGATAGACGTATCATCACCATAGTTGATACATCATGGCACAAAACCTGAAATTAAACATCCGTCGAATCCAGGAAATATATACGACTCACACATAGAGATAATGAACTGAAGTTAACTTTGGTGAGTATTTCTGATTGTTCCTGATGTGAGATTTTTGGGAAGATCTGAATATTTGGATCTCCCATATTGTCTTCACATTATTGATGGTAATTCACTCCCACTTTCTCTGCATGTGATGTTTCTCGCTGACTGGGAAGGGGGCTAATAGGGCGTAAACCGTTGGTACGCTCCTCGATACACGGCAGCCTGAAATATCAAGAAACCAACATTATTCATTATAATCTTGAAAATTCATAAAATGTGACACATAAATGACTATTACACTTGTTGGCAAATTTCTGAAGGTTGTTTTAAAGCTGGGTCAATGTTTGAAAGATTATCAACAAAATTAGAATTTGTTAAATCTTATATAAACAATGTTAATTGACATAAAATATAGTTATTATCAAATGGATGAATTTATTGGGTTATACTTTCTAGTTCTAGCTTGAAATCTCCTAATAAGATAAGAAAATCTTGCTCTCCGAAAGTCTAAATCCAAAACTTTATCGAACAAAAATGAATTAAAATAAAAAATATTGTCGTAACACAAAAAGTGAATCAAGAAAGAATTAATATAAAACATTAACTCAATGTGTTATAATGTAACTGATCCAAAACAATAGGAACAATAAATAATAATTCTTATATTCTGAAAATTTATCTCTATACCTTCTAGAATTTATGAGTAATACGTCTAGTCTGAAAGTGATATAAGAAAATGAAATTCCAATATTGATCAAATGGCACGGTAATAATCATAAGGGAAGTCTGACTCAAAACCGTTTTTATTTGAGTAAAATTTGAGCATCATGAATGATTTGATAAGTGTGGATTGTTAAATTGATGTCTACTTCAAATATGAACGATTAATAGGACTGACAAAAATACGAGTGAATCTTCATTAAATGTCTCTTACCAATATTCCCTGACAATTTTCAATAGAATTTTGGTAAAGGAATTACAAGAACTCACAAGCTTGCAAAATGTCCAAGTTAATGAAACTTCTTGAACACAGTTGTTCCAACTGACACATATTCATATTGCTTTATGGAAGCACATCTAAAGAATATAGAAAAATATAATATAATGACCTTTACCCCATAACCAGCTACAGGGCCTATACTGTGTCCTATGTAGGGATCTGAAGTGTATGCTGCAGTGACTGGATCACGGCCATACGCACTGTAATAAAAATATGAATACGCGTGTGAATATAGTTCCCTTGATTAAGTAGTGTGGCACCATATATACAACTGTTGGAGAAAACATGATGTGATTTTCAAAATGGCGGTGGATCGTAATGACGTATTATCTTCAAGGACGATCAGGAAATTCATGCCATGCAGACATTGCACAAGATGTAACAACACGTCATTCGATCCACCGTGACATGTTGCGATGATCAGCAACTTGGCTTTCAAGATTGAAGGACAGTTATATATATAGAGCGACACCTTTTGTTGAACTACAGTACTTCATGCCATGGCTGCACAACATTCGGGCTTTGGGGGTGGTGGGAGGGGGTAAATGAGATCGGCGGGATTAATAGGGGTGAAGCATTATGAACTAAATTACTGAAAATACAAGCATTCTCCAACTAAGCATACAAGTGATAAATTACGTGGTGCAAATTCATGCAACGTTTGTTTTAATTCCCATGCGTTTACCACATTCATTAATAATTTGAAAATACGATGCGACTTAGCTCACAGATAAGGCATTCATCTAAACTAGTGTACAGCATTCTCAATTGACTCAAATTAATCATTTTAACACAATAAACATTCATTTTTATTAATCAATTAAAGAGTGCTTTGATTCTTGCACATGCAATCAATACGTGTTATAATCTCCTCAATTCTTCATATTAAATTGATATTAATTTACTATAGATGGAAGAGAATCGAAGGGCTGTTAAGGTTATAAAGGTCATAGGTGATACAGTAACCCCAGCTTATATGAACAAATGTAGGTCTCACAAAATGAGTTAGTAGAAATGAAACACATGACAAAAATAAACAGGAAAACATAGTGTTAGTGTACTATAGAAGAAAAAGTATCCTGATAAAAATTGACCAAGAAAGGATAAAGATTGAAGACGAAATGATAAACAGAAAAGATACCAACAAAACACCACCTGCAATGTTACTTCAACAGGTGGCGCTAGTAGTGGTAAGGTGATAATATTAAAGATGGATTTGGAACAAAATGAACGTATATAGGAAATAAACGGGGCCAAAACTATAACACGGTAGTGTGCAATGCCGCAAAAACCAACACAACTCTGTTGATCTGGGGGTGTCAGTACCTTTGTAACCCAACAGCCATTCTGGACGTGTCAGTTTGATTTTTCACATACCCTGCAGTTGCTGCGGCCGCGTAAGTGGCAGCATTAGCCACCGTGGGAATAGCTGCGTAACGGGTGGCCGTAGCATATCCGGCGGCATAAGGCTAAAGGGAAAGAGATTAAACCACATGTAAACGGAATGTTACTAAACCACAGCCAACATAAAGTGCTAGGTCCAACGGTCACCTACGCCGTGTATTGCATGCTAGCAATGACCGTGGAATGATGTATACCCTCTAACCCTTGGTATGTTAGTGCAAGCGGATTAGAAGCCCTGGAGCTGACTGACTGATTCAGCCATAAGTCCTAAAAAAGGTTCTATCAAATGAAAAAAAGGTGCATATCCACAGCATATACGGTCGAGACATCAAGATTCCGGGATGATGCTGTAATACACAACACAAAGTCATTCACAATACATCAGTACAGTATAAAATGGCAACATGCTTGGCATATGGAAAATCATACGGCAAATGGTATACATGTATTATCATATGGCAAATGATGCAAAATGGGTAAATATTCTTTATGAGTAAATGTCGATGGCACAACTCCCCATGGAAATTGTTGGATTTATCAATATGCATGATCTTAATCTAGGGATTATCTACTAATCCAACAGTTGATTATCCCTTATCCACTCCATTTGCATGTGTCAACAAAAATCTGATCAATCAACAGAATTTAAATCATACATGTTTGATAATTCCTCCATTTAAAAAAATGAAAAATTACCAGTGCCAAAGTGTCATTCACATTTATGGGTCATGATATCGTCAATAAAAAAGCAGGACTGACTAAGCATCAAGAGATCCAGAGCCAATTAGTTTCAAACTTGTATCGGAAATAACATAACTGGCTCTGTGTAATTTTGACCAGAAGATGTGACGTCCCAGTAACGCACCCTGAATTGAAGCCATAATGGTATCCCAGCATTCTATGATTACCCATGATTAGTATGTTTCAAAAGTACTGTCCAAGCGAAGCATGTTGCCATAGTAACAGTAAATATGGGGTTTAATTCCATTCAATTGATCCATCTCTATATGTAAAAAGCCATTCTGATTGTGGTTAAATAAGGCATAAAGAGACTAAGGACACAATAGCTTTATATCACATCTATTTCAACTGATTACAAATTAATCTATGAATAAATAATTAAATAAGGGGCTTCAAAAATCTCAATTATACGCAAAATTGGTTTTATTCTGGTATGCAAATACTCTTATTAATCAAGTATGAATTTAGTAAATATAAAGTACTGTAATCCATAATATTTGTGTTATACCAGTAAAGAACTAGTTGAACACACACAAAGTACTAAATAACAATTTTCAAAGGAATGAAGTACCAAATAATTATCAATTCAGTACCAAACAAGTGGGATTAAGTACCAAATAAGGGGAAATTCAGTTCAAATTATTGATGTGAATTGAAAGCTATTGTGCCTCAATTAAACCTGTCCACACTTAGAAACGACTACATCAACATTGGCCGCCAATTCTCCCATGCCTTGAGAAGAAAACTCATTCAAAAACATTATTATTAGACATCCATATCACTATTATACACAGTTACAACATCAAATATGAAAAAATAGCTGCGAATTTGCCAATTCTAATACGAAAAATGCTTATGTATGCTACAAGGTATGTTTTTTGTTTACTTGTAAGATGTATGCAATTTACCATAGACCAATGCAGAGATGGCTGAGACAATAATTTACAACTTCTCTTCTGGAGACAATAAAGCTGGACACAATAAGTAGTTTTAATAATAACACTTTACATGTGTAATATTGTAGATTTCAAAATTTGAGATAAAGCAAGCAGTAATATTAAGAATCAAAAATATTCTTGCATTACTATTTTTTCATTGATTCTGGATAACATATTTGTTGATGAAATACCATTTTGTGTTTTTTAGAAGTTTGAAATTTTTGTCTCTGCCATCAATATAAATACATATGAGAAATCTGGAACATAAGAACTGCAAACTTAAAGTGCCTACAGGGTAAGGGGGTAGGAATCTAATGAGTTAAATATGCAATTCTCATATCATTTGGCAGCAAAAATTAAGAAATTAAAGTCAAACCATTCTGAATTTTGCAGTGATAAATGCACCGAGGGGGCACAAAGGGCAAGATATCCCAAATGCACATTTTCCATCAAAAATCCCAAAAATGTTTAGGCGACATTCCAGGGTTAAAAAGATTCGTACAAGATCACAAAATCCCACGATTCATTTTAATAACACCCCAGTTAAGTTATTTTATAAAGCAAAATCACAAGAACATTGCATGAAATCGTTTTCTCAAAAAATACACCCCACTCATGTTTCACCTTCCCAGTCACCAATATTAAAAAAGTTTAAATAAAAAATGGATTAAAATCAAGCCAGTCAAATATTATCAATTCTAATAACATGTGTTACCCCATTAATATTCTAAGATTCACTTTAAGCGATATTCGCATCATCAATGATTTATTTTTCGGAATAGTTCGAGATGATCGAACAGACATCAAAGTACATCTTAGCTTCTTAGGGTCAATATTTGAAAACATCTGACCCCAAGAATCAACAGAATCCAGAATCGTCTCGACGAGAAAAATATTATTTCTCACGAAATTTCATAACTTCTCAACAAAACTAAACACTGAATTTATATATTTTTTACAACTCTGGAAAACGTAAAATTCAATCTTGGATTCTGTTGCATTATGGGAGCTAGCTAGGTTAAGACCTTTCTTTATACGCAATCCGTCACTCATCAAATCCTTGTTCTGCCTGTGACAATTCATTAAAACCAAAAAGCCCAATTCAATGGAACATACTGGCTATTAAGATTCAAAGTGGAAAATCTAGAGAGCAATAATAGCCCATTAGAGTCGAACTTGCAAAACTAATCATCAGGATTATTCATGAAATGCATGAGATTGGAAACTGAAGTGTACCTCAAAAAAGCAATAATCCATGAGTATATTGTCAGTTGTGTGTAATACAGTAAAACCCGTTGAAGTTAAACCTCTTGGTTTCAATAAAGTGTTCCACTTTGGGAGGTGTTCCACTTATAGAGGTTCAAGTTCAATTAGGGCAACAGGGATAATAACTTAATAAAACATATTTCACTTCTTCTTCTTAAAATAGAGAGCTAACTTTCAGTTATAAATCCATTTCTCCCATACCAACCCATTTCGTATTTTAGTGACGATTTGATGCAGTGACGAAAAACTAAAGTAAGGTGTGTGTGAGTGAGAAGTATGTTTACCAGGGTGGGTGTAGTCACTTGCATTTGGTAACGGTCAGCATACGCTGCTAAAAATGGATCTGTGCCCGGATACACACCACCAGTTCTGGAAAAACAAGCATATTGATAAAATACATTTAACAACATCCAGGTGATTCAATGGATACATGAGTGAATACAAAATATTAATCAAAAATGAAAATAAATCGCATATACAGAACTTGCCCAATTAAACCTAAAATTGTGAAATTAAGGCTTAAAATGAATTTATCAAAACTGGGTAGGATTCTGAATATATTGCATTGCAAAAATAGCAAAGAAGAATGTTTGATACTGGTGGTTGGTAAGTTAATGATGGCATGTACTGTATAGTGCAATTGCATACATTATAAACTCTACATAGCAGTACAGACCAGCTACTACCCTTAACTCCCTTATCACTAGCTATAGAATAAAATAAGACCTTTTGGTCATTTTGGAATGTATAACAAATACATTTTGATAATATAAAGCTTTCTGATGGTCTATCCCCTTTCTTAAATGCAGATCTGAGGAAACAATCTTTCGCTATATTTTCTAAAGGATCTTATAGATAATGGTCGAGATGAATTTGGGGTTTCTTGCTCAAATCAAATCAAAATGCATGGACTGTACTTTCATTCTCATTATTTACTATTTTTACTATCATTTAAGGGACACTGTTCAAGAATTATGAAACCTGTGTGTTATTAGACTAGATTACAATTTGACATGTAATTTTCAATAAGATCTTGAGTAAAATATTGGTGGGGGGACTGGGTAGCTGATGTTTATTCAAGATTACATGATAATGCAATGTCTCAATTGTCTTAACTGTATGATATGGGACTGAGTGGCAACTGGCCTGTATGATGACATAACAATCGTTCAACCCACAGGACATTAACCCATGCATGAAGCAATGACCAAAGACACAGAAGAACAACTAAAAACAGAGAATATAGTTTCATAGCAAATTGAGGTGGAGAATGCAAACAAGTCCATTATTGAAGGTCAAAGTGGAATAATATTGATATTTGAACAAAATGAAATATTATGAAGTAACAGAATAGTATGACATTAACTTGAATTTTTGGGCAGTAAAGTGAAATTATAAATTCCAAGCAATAGCAAAATATTCATTCATCCAATTGACTATTTTTGTTCACTGGGATATTGGTTGCATGTTCAGCTGAACTTATTCAATTTGGGTCTATAAAATACTTGTGGGAATACTTTGCAATGATTTATCATATATTAAGGTCTTTATTGAACCAAGTAAAATGACATTGGGACCTGAGAATATGGATGGTATGCTTCAGTCTACACATTTGCAGTAAATCTACCACTTCTAATAAAATAATTTACTGCTCCGTTGGTTTTAAAACAGAGAAAATTGCTTTACAAGGAAGTGGGAAAACTCTTTCATTGACTGATAAATATGTTGTTAAATTGTAAATTGATATGATTTGTGATATGTTAGGTTTAGCAATATATGTATTCCATTCACCCAAGATTATATTCAAGAAACATAAAAGTTTGTCACTGCCAAAAACCTTTAACATAAAACCAACTGAAAATTTGTTTCATATTTCAGAAGGTGTCAATAAAAATGATAATGGCATCTGGAATATTGTATAAGACTTATAAAATAAGACTGTATAAAATATGCTGATATATATCATAATATGTTGATGTATATTATAATATCTTGGTATGTATCATAATATGTTGGTATATATTACTGGTTAAAGGCAATGCAAACCATTCATGCATACCATACTAATAACCAAACAATTCAGATCTAAAATAGACCAAGACTTGGAACCTTTTTAGAATTTTGTATTCACTATACAAGGATGAAGCACATATCATGCATATAGGATATGCAGCAACTATGGATGTATAATGTAATAATCATAGCATGCAGTGTTCCAATCCTAACACCCCTACATTTAAATGCAACATAAAGGGGTGATAGGTCAGAAATTCAATTTGCAACTAGATAATGGCAACTCCGCGGAGTAGCAAATCCCAACGAACAAAATATCAATTACCGAATTCCAATCAATTATACTCATTACTTTGGTTAAAATTCAGATTTAAGAATTGCGAATTCCTGCAAAGCAGCCATTTCGAATTTTCTGAGGTACAAATCTGAAAAATAATACCATAATTGTGATCTACTCCAAAATTCCTTCAATTTGAGTATTATAAAGCCATACGCTGAAGGGATCGAAAAAATTATTGCGAAATCATACATTAGACGGCCATTTTGAATTTTACGAGGCTCGAATCAGAAAAAAGATACAATATTTGGAATCTACTCTCAATTGCCTTTCATTTGAGTATAATAAAGCTATACTTCAGAAAGATCTAAAAATTATATTTTTTTCTGTTTTCCTGACCCCCCATACACGGCCCCTGGGGGTCAGGATGAAAAACACGGAATATATGTGAAATAGATAGATGTTGCGAATATACTACCAAAATTTCAAACAATAATATTAATTACCGTACTTTGGTTTAGAATGAAAGATTTATGATTTTTGCGAAAAGGTCCCGTCATTTTTAAAGTGGTGGCCATCTTGAAAAAATCCATTTTGAATTTTCTGAGGTACAAATCTGAAAAATAATACCATAATTGTTATCTACTCCAAAATTCCTTCAATTTGAGTATTATATAGCCATACTTTGAAGGGATCGAAAAATGATTGCGAAATCATACATTAGACGGCCATTTTGAATTTTACAAGGCTCGAATGAGAAAAAAGATACAATATTTGCAATCTACTCTTAATTGCCTTTCATTTGAGTATAATAAAGCTATACTTCAGAAAGATCTAAAAATTAGCGAAAATTTCTGTTTTCCTGACCCCGATACACGGCCCCTGGGAGTCAGGATGAAAAACACAGAATATATGTGAAATAGATAGATGTTGCGAATAAACTACCAAAATTTCAAACAATAATATTAATTACTTTGGTTTAGAATGAAAAATTTATGATTTTTGCGAAAAAGTCCCGTCATTTTTAAAGGGGCGGCCATCTTGAAAAAACTATTCACCAATACACATCTTTCCGCTAAATATGAAGAAAACCCGTCTACTAGTATTTGAGTTATCTTCCGGACGGACAGACGGACGGACGGACTGACGGACGGACTGACGGACGAAGGGCTTCACTATATCCCTACCAAACTTCGTTCGTTGGGATAATTAATTGTATCATACTGTATTGTCTACACACCACAGAAACCCCATAGCCAATTTGTAAAAAAATATTAGAGAAAAAAAGGTTTCGTTAAGGCTCGGAACATGTGTTTTTGACAAATATGTCAAGAAGGAACCCTTTACTAAAAATGGAAAATTACAAACTTAAGACGAAAACGGATATGAAAAAACTTGTAAATTTGCTAAAATGACAGATGAATTGAATAAAGTCATACAGATATTTACACTGTTTAAATTAGATTGGGTGACACAAATTGACCAAATAATAAATATGAAGATGGCAAACCAATGAAACTCAGCAAACATTAATAATGCTACACTTGGTAGTATCATAGATGATAACATAATGCGAAATGGTTTGACAAAAGCAAATATTCATGAAAATGGCAAAATATTTGCTCTTTATATGAAAAAAATGTTATTGGCCAAGGGGTCTTTGGTGTACGTGTTTGGGCCATACCTGTACTGTTGTATCAGTGCATCTGGAAGACCACTGAGACCCATCCTAATATGGAAATAAAGCAAATTCACCATCAAACCCAAATCAAAATGCAAACGTGTGTGCGCATATTTCTCTCAAATTTTCATGCTGTAAATTGCATCAATATCCAGGTCTCAAAATGAGTAAGACAGTTTTTAGAGAAGCTCAAGCCCTTAATTATTCCAACCCTAATATCTGGTAATAGAGAAAAACTATAATCAATTCTTGGAAATACAAAACCAGAAGATGTCACAAAATTAATAAAGAAAAGTAATCCCAGTCTCATTTCATGGAAAAATCCCTATTCTAAAATGATATTTATTGTTTCGAATTTTGTTATTTTTCAATTTGAGAGAAATATGTATTCTGGATAGGAGTGAAGCAAAAATTGTGATTAATATAATTTTTATTAACATCAAAACGTGTCTACTTAGTAATACAATGTAGAGGCATGCAAGCTCTCTCTGTGCATGCAAATCTTTAATAATTAGAAAATAATTGAAATTTATTCCATGTGTAATTTCTTTTACAAAATATAACTGTCATCATTTTTATAGCAAGTTGAATGCACATAGATACCTTGCAAAGTTAACTAATGAATATTTACTAAATTCAATATTAGGCAGAAAATGAAGAAAATTCCACGCCTTTTCAGAAAAATCTTTCAAAAAACATGTTTTCCCAGCATTCAAACTGATAGCCATGTGACATAATTCAACCAATAAGACTCAAAAGATTTCACAACTTTATGCTGTTATATTGAGTAGTGGAATTTTCCTTCATCAGTATGGATATCACCAACACCATATATAAGTTGCTCATTTGTTGACATACATGCTAGATACAGATAACCAAAACCAAACATTATCAATAATTAAAATTTGTGAGAAAAAGCAACTAATAAAGATTCACAAATACATCAAATAGAAATATGGACACATGTTCATACTAGCTTTTAGATACACATTATTCAAAAAGTAATGGAATGTACATAAAACACCTCAAGGGTAGAATTATATCACAACTGATCAATATATTTTCTATATATAAACCTTTGACATAAGGATCTAATATAACTAGTATAAATGTGTCCATGACATGCCTTATTTACGCAGTGCAATTATTCAGAAGTTCATTAACCCTTTCCCGACGTGAATATAAGAGGAAAATGTTGGCCCTGGTGACGGATAAGTAAGAGCAGTTTTTAGGGGAAAACTGAAAATTACCTATGCCCAGGGACCTATACCTTGAATTTTATCACTGAAATACATTTTTTATAAAGGACTATCGTATTAGAACAACTTGTCAAAATTTGGTGTAAAAATACTGAATAGAACTGGAGATATTATCATTTCATTGATGTATATAAATAAAAATTATGGTGCCAAAAGGAGCCTATAGTCCTGAAAGGTATTACATAATTGGGCTCCATATGGAGCCCATCGTCGTGAAAGGGTTAAGGGAGGCAACATCTTTAAGAACATCACACCATATCAAAATGATCATGTTTATAATGAAAAATTCATCTTTTAATTGATTATTTTATATATTTCTAAACATGACCATTGTGACATGATATCAATAAAATACAAAAAATCTTGGATAGTATACAAAGAAAAATAAAGGTGGCGCTTTTAAGCAAGGTCACCTAACTTACGTGGCATATGGCAAGCCTGTGGCTGTGGCAAGAGTTGGCCGTATCTGAGCTGCAGGAGTGGCTAACATAGCAGCACCTCGTGCTCTCCCTCTGGTCAATGCTACCCCTCTTAAAGCTGCTGCTAAAAACGTAAGAATGAAAATATGATTTTTTTTAATGTTTTATAACATTATTCATCTCATACTTGAACATGCTTGAGGTAGATGTATAGAGCAGTTTAGCAAAGAAGTGTATAGTCAACAACAATCAGAGGACCAATAGAATAGTAAGTGAAATAATCCTAATGTTCCAAACCTCATATTGGGTAAGTTAATTAACTAAATGAATAGATATTTTTGGTTTAAATAAACAGTAATGAAAAATTAATTTTAGCTGCGCTTTTTGAGCATTAATGCATGACAAATAAGCAAACTAATGGTCTTCATGTCTCACTCAAATTAATCAGTGGGGGAAAAATTCAGAAAAAGCTTGTGTCTAATTATTATTTACTTACATTGTAAGTAGTCTCCATTTGGTATGACCCCAACACCAACCCCAACCTGGGGGGATGGCACAACTGCTTTCTTGGTCATAACCCTAGCTGTGGCATTATTAACCTACAATATATCATCACATTAGTACACAATGATCAATCCCTAATCAAGGAACTATAGCATTGTGGGAAAACCATATCATGAAAATATGTATGAAAGCCTTTTGAAATTGTCCTTTCTTAACATTCACTTTCACAGTTGCATAAATCGATAAGAATTGATATCAAAAGGGACTTTATAATGGTATCTTCTATTTCAAAGGGAAACAAAAAAGGTGTTATTTGAATAGAATTTCTCTGTTTGCAATGAGGTACTCCGACTTGAATAATAGGAGATTAGAAAAGAAGAAGTCCTCATTATGGTTTTCATTCTATTATTGCTAAGGGCTTATTCTGGATAATATATTTGTTTTAAGGCTATTATTACCCACAATGCTTTAGTTTCCTAATTAGGATATATTAGATGGCATCGCCAGTATTTCCTGTAAAAGAAGATGAGATTATAATTTGTACCTTGCTAAGTAGTTCTAAACCAAGTGATTTTTAAAATGCATTGTGTTTAAGTCATTCGTTCTTAGTTATCTTAATAATAAGTGACCTGAAGGATACATGACTTATCTGAGGTTTTATTTTAATGATATAATAGATCACGATTTCTGATATTCCATCTGCCTCTCACGATGTAATTATGGCAGTATAAAATGAAAAAATGCATATCAGATATCTTTATTAATTTTGTTTGATGAAAAACGATATAATATATGAGATTCTTAACATGTATGACAATATAAGTATCTCTTATTTTTCGTAAAATAAATCTAATCCCAATGCATATTAAAAATATCACTTTTTAAAAATGCTGATAATCCTTATTGAAGTTGAACATAAATTGACAAAAACGTAAGGTGAAAAATATTTCTCGATCGATTTACTTTGCAATACCATGCATCATTTATGTCATTCCATTCATTTATTTAAAGAAAAAGATCAAGGGCAACAATTGCAACAATATAAATCATCAATCAGACTGTACAGGAAGAATATTGATTTGAAACATTGCATAAAACTCAAAACTTCAATTTAACAAATTATTGTTTGAGAATAATATTTACATTGAGCATGTAAAACCAAGCAAGTCACTTTACATGGACTTGAAGGGGCCCATTTCTAGAAAATGTCAGGTGTTATGATTCTTGAATTTCAATTGCCTTGATGGATGTAACTATAGTAATATCATTAGACAACTTAATTCAGAAATCATGATTCGTGACATTTTCAGGAATTGACCCCAAGACTGTATTTACATGCTCATTTAGCAAGGTACAGATCATATAAGAAGCATAACTGTAAGATGTAACAATATATGTCAAATACATCAAACCAAAATATGAACTTTGAAATTGTTTTCAGAAAACAAAGATTTTGCGATATCCATCCAATTTTCACAATAATAGAAAAAATATTTTCAGAAACACAAAGATTTTGCGACATCCATCCAATTTTCACAATAATAGAAAAAATATTTTCAGAAAAACAAAGATTTTGCGATATCCATCCGATTATAGAAAAAATGGCAAATCGTTGTAAAAGTGACAAAGTTATGCTTCTTTCTCTATTAATATTACAACACAAAAGTCAGCATGTACTTGCTTGTTCCGTAACTGATATTGTATCCTTATGTTTTTAGCAAAATACTTTTAACCATAATTTGCACATTATTACGAAAATGCAATTCTATCTATCCCCAAAGCACAGATGATGCTCTTAACAGTTAATTAAGAAGTGATATGTGATAACATAAATATATTATCATCATATTGAGAGTTCCGAACAAACAAGTACATACTGGATACAAAACATGTGATACAATTTTTATCTATTTTAAGACTATTGTGATAATCATGAAACTTTCTATTAACTTTACGGAGAGGTAGAACTAACACTTAAGACTTGTACCACCAATTATAAATAATCAAGATTTTTAAAAAAAACTCTTGTCTGGACTGAAATACTCCATTCAATTTAATAACTTCTAGTTATTCTTTTTGTTGTTTTTCCAAAATATCATTGAGAATTTGGTTAACATTGAGTGAATATCACTTAACTTGAGTAAAATATTCTGTTAAGAGTAATAATGAGTATAGGTCAAAGAGTTTGAATTAGGAAAATGAATTAAACAGGCACCAGTATTAGATCATTTTGGAATTCAAATAAATGAACAAGACTAGATAAACTGGAATGTAATGTTAATGCTTAAAATCAAGTAATTCTTCATAACATTTGCTAGCATCTGATTGATAAGAATTTCTATGTTCACATATTCCGATTAAGGACATCACAGTTTAATTGTCTGTTTAGTTGAATTTAGTCTGATAAAAAGGAGCAGGTATTTCTTATCTTCATCATAACTCTAAGATTGCAAAAAGTTGCAATGTGTTGAGCAGAGATGATCTTGAATGACCAGATAGACACTGCTAAACAGTAAATTATTTTGAAAATGCCTTTACTGTATATGAATCTTGAATTCTGACAGTTTCGTTGTGTAATTCTGGCACCGTGATTAGACTACATTTCCATGATTTTGCTTCGAGAAGATAAAAGGATATTTATAGATTCATGCATTCCAGTTTAACATTTTGATCATTCAAACTTGAATATTTTATTCTTAGATTGTTTTAAATGCTGTCAAATTAGAAAAGTTAAGCAGGAATAATATTTTATTCATAGACATATCCATCATTTGATTCCGACTGTTTAGGTGTTTTTCAATATGAAGACAATTCTCCTCAGGAAAGCAATGCATCAACTTGAGACCTATCAACGGATAAAGCAAGAATAAATAAACTGAAATTGAAAATTAAATTTCCATGAGCCATACAACTCTCAGTTTGAATTGTTATCTTTGAGTATTCATGCACTCGTGATCACTCGTTTCAGCTGATTTCATACGAATATTGAATAATCCCGTAAGAAATTAGTGAAAGGAATTTAGTAAAAATAAGGTTTTATTTCTACTTATAATTGAATGCTAATAGATTGAAATGAGAAAAATATATCATTTTGATTAAATAAAAACGATTCACGTCTATAAGTGCCTAATTGCGATGATTTCAGAGGCAGTTAAAGTCAAAAGGCTATAATACTAGTGGTATAATGCCATTCTAAATCAAACTGAAGTTCAATTATATTTCCACAAATATTACATAAAATCACTTTTAGCCCCTAGATATAATCTTCTGCAAGGCATCAGAGAGGAAATGTGTCTAATTTATCTTCATTTCAAGATATAATTTTGGATTTTACTTGATGAAAAAACACCATTAGTATAATAACAATGCAAGTAGAATTGGAAATCGGAAATGATCCATTATTTATGATTATTTATAATCGGTGGATTAACAGACACACCACCGTCTGACTGGAAAAAATAATCGAAAATTTTCATAAATGACTCTTTCTGTAATTAACTTAATGAGCTTCCCATAATTTTCATAAAATTGAAAATTGAAGCATGGTAATAACTCAAAATTAGTAACCAAAATATTTCTTCACTAATAAGGGCTTTCAGCAGTGGTGTATCCAGAACATTAAACATTGTTTTTTACCTTATATCCTCTCTCTGACAATTCTATAGCTATTCAATAACAATGATACACAGATGAGGAAATGCCATGTTGATTAGAGTAAAGAGACAAAAAAAGTGGAAAATATGCACTCACAAATATATAACAAAAGAGGCTCTAGCATTGCTGATGCACTTTCACCCATTGTATTATTGTGTGATTGTTAAAGGTGGAGCAGTCATTGAGATTAATTAAGGGGCTCTAATAATGCGCCTATCGTTCACATCAGGACAATATCCAATCAAAATGCAGATAATATTAAAGTACGGACAAATAATGAGGAAAACATGAACTGAAGACACCCCGAGTGTCATATGACATCAAACATCATTTGACATCAGACGTCAAATGACATCAGAGTTGTTCTATATAGTAACAATGCACGGGCACACTGACACATTCCGACAAGGTCACAAGGCATTTCTTCATACTGCGACGTAATTATAAATGATAACTTAGCGGTTATGTGTTGTGCTATACCACAGAGTATGTAATAAATAAATAACCATGCACCTCGATCTTTCTCCCCTCAACCACAGTTCCGTTCAGTTTTTCACGTGCTCTCTCGGCTTCAGCGCTATTTTGGAAAGTTACAAAACCGAATCCCTACATGCATGAGGAAAATAATAAGGGGCATGCATTTAAAATCGTGCAAATCAACGAAATCACAGCATTTGTTGTTGTTCATTTATTATGATGTTTACGAGTACAATAGACAAGTAACTGATCATGCGTGGAAGATTTGATCGCTATATATTCATTTGTATTGCAAGTGAAGAAGTTTGAATGATAGATAGGTCATGCAAGAGTTCTTCTAGAAGCAATTGTTGTGTCCATGTATTGACAAAGCCTATAATTGATTGATCTAAGTTAACAGAGGCATGAGTTAACACTGATACAAGTCAACTTTTGTGCAATATACAACATTGGCACAGTCAACATTGATACGGGTTAACATTAGCTCTAGTCAAGATTGATATGAATCAACATTGGCATAAGTCAACACTGGCGCAGGTCAACATTATGCATTACAGCAGAGACACACAGACAAAGACAGTTGCCAGACAGACAGATAGACAGATGGACAGACAACACACATACACAGCTCTACGATCGGCCAGCAGGGCTGAATGGAACACGTATACAGTGCTTGTTAATCGGTGTAAAGATAGACAGAGGGAGGGGAAATGAGACTGTGGCGGATATGTGAAAGCTCCTTGCATAGGATTCAAAGCTACCCATCCAAAATATGTTCATTCTGGTCAAGCCTTTTTCATACTTTTTCACACCAAAACATGAAAGTATTTAATTTTCACATTACTGATTGAGTTTGCGGCCTACGCCTGTACTATTACTCTCCTTACTATTCCTTATGAAGCTAATGTGTTAAAGGATAGGCTGACCAGAGTGAGGCACACGGTATATGATAACATACATTAGAAACTTAATCACCTTACGGAACAATCAAAATGGCGGCCAGAGGAGGTCAACATTCAAAATGGCGGCCAGAGGAGGTCAACATTCAAAATGGCGGCCAGAGGAGGTCACACAAAGAAACAACCCCTACTAAAATAATACAGTAAATAAATAGTCAACAGTTTTGGACCACCCTTCCAAGATCTAAAATAAACTGGCCCAAGAAAGAAGCCCTTAGGGTTCTTTATAAGAGTTTGCTATATTCAAAGCTTCCACCAAAAGAGGATTGTAGAGCGAAAGGAGGCAGAAAGTAGTAATAGGGCAATTAAAGGAACATGGAAACCTAAATGCCCAACATGTTAAATAAATGGAATGAAATGTAGATAGTGTAGGGGAGAGGGGAGCTCCTTGTTTTACACCAGATCTTGTTAATAAAGTTAGTTGGTCATAGAAAGATGTGTTAGCATAGGTTAGGAGCATATGTGTGCGTAATTCCTGAACTTGGATGATGACAAACATCGCTGTTGCAGTATGTATATTAATAGAGCACATATATGGTAACATATTGATCCAAACTAATCATAAACAGAAATTGCAGCACACATAATACAAGAGAGAAAGTATACGAGCTTTTGGACATAATTCATAAATAGAAACAGTCTAAACTAAAAAATGCTCCACGGATGACTTGAGTTCACATAATGCAGCAGACTTTGAAAAATCGTAGAAATAATTGCAGAGCACTGTGATGTGTGACTACATAAGCGATGTATAAGAAACAAAGAATGCCGAAATCGTAAAATTTGCTTGCCATTTTAATTTAGACTGCCCTGAACAACTTGACGAGCCGTGAGTTTCGTGTTTGACACTTCATATGTAACAATGTACAATACATTATAAGCTGAGGGCCCACACAAAGTTGTAATACTGACACTATTTTAGTCAACTACTAGATTAGAAATCTGGACATTCTAAACCACAGTGTGTGTTCACTTAAACTTAATTATATCATTCTTTAAACTAACATTATCATTAAACTAGTCTAAGAAATTACAAAATATTTTGTTCTACTAATATATTTAAACTAATGAAAATTAGGAAATATAACATGGATTTAATTATTATATATTTTATTCATTTTCTTTATTTTCTTATTAATATGGTGACGATAATTCAGAAATGGACATACCTTGGATCCCCTTTCGTTGAATATAATTTCAACATCCAATATAGTTCCAAACTGCTGCAAAAGAATAAAAGATTTATTTAACTACTTATTTAGTCGACAACAATCACTAAGATACGAAATATGAAAATATTTTCCTGTATATATATACGATAGAAACCTAGTAAAGTAGAGAGCTAAACTTGGGACTTATAAATAAGTAGTCATCACATTTCTTAATTCATTTTTCATTTTTTATGTATACTGTACTCCCAAAAGATGTATGCCTGAACATTGACTGAAAAACCTCTTGTTTTAAGGATAAGGGCAATATCACCAATATAAAGATTCTCTAATAAAACTTGAAGACTTTCAGGTAAAATATAACTGGAACCTCCTGAACAATACAGAAACAGTATTTTCATGAATCATTGGTATAAATAAACTGACATAATTCACTTACTCCTAATAATTGCCTTAGATCTGCCTCTCTGAACCTAAATGGAATATTTGATACATGTAGTCTCTTTGGGCCTGGGGTCTCTGGTTTGGCTGGCATCTGTACATTTGGATTGATTGTGACCCCTGGGGGCATCTGGACTTCACCACCCTCCAGTTCTGTTTGCTGTAAAACAAAGAAGTAACATTTAATTTTGTTTTAGCTAATAGTGTTTCTTTGATATACAGGATATAAAAAGAAAAGAAGTTCACTCTCTTCTTCCCAATAAACATCTGCAAGAAAATTGAATCGTTTTTAGATCATGCAATGTGGCAGACTTGTAAAGACTCTGCACTCCAAGTTTAAACATGTAAAACATGAAATTGAAGAAATATCCAAAACAGCCTTGTGCTAAATACACATTGCTCCAACTCTGGCTAGGCTATTCTCCACTTCTTTTTTACTTTATCTATTAGCCTTTGATTCAGAGGTGGTTCATTGATCTCACCTATTTCATCATATCAGACTACATTGTCAGAATATCACAACACAACATTTTCTACGAATAAATAGCTTACATTAATTTCAGAATCAACTCAATAGAACTAAAACTAAAATCATCTCAATAATCAGAGGGTTTGGCAGCTGTCTAATTCCAGGGTAGTTCAGTCCAATGATGGAAAGAACGGTTTCATTACATCTAAGACCATCATTAATCACATCTGAAAGCTATACCTCATTTCTGCAATATGAACTAATCAAAAACGCAATGCTTTTAATGTAAATTAATGGGAGGTTTATACAGATCTTGATCCCAGGGATGCATTATGCTCTTTATACTAATATTTTGAGCTGATGCCTGAAATGATGTATAATATATTTTCATATCTTTATATAATAACAGACTTCCAGTTTTCTAGGATTCGATTGCTAATCTTTAAAAGAAAGCTTTATCTTTTAACAAGAGTTGATTCTTTTCTTTGGACCAAAATGTGATTTCTGTATCTTCATCTACCAGGCCTTGACAGCTACTCAATCAGGTCATCAAAACATTAAAATTAGCTACATTAATCAGAGGGTAAAAATTACCTTTAGCCTCTGAGCTTAAGGGTTTCTAATATATAACCTCCATCAAGTCCTTAATGTATCTAATATTGTCACATGCACCCAAGAGGAGCTCGAAATATGAGCAATTTGTCTCATTTTAGGTCCCAGGGTTGCAATATATTAGTCTAACTTTAGAATTAATATTCAAGCATTAAGAATTAGGAGGTAGAAAATCTCCATTTTCCAGAATTGAAAGGCTTTCTATGAAGATGCAAATGTTTTTTCAGATGGCTGACATTTCTAGCTTTTTGTAGCTTTTGGTTGCTAATACTTTTATTAGCTACTGTATAACTTCTTCCAAATAGAATCAAATTTCTCTCTAGGGCTTTTATTCCTCTCTCTGTTACAAATTCTCATTATTGATTTTTTTTCAAAACTGGTCAAACCAATTTTTCTTGATTTTTACCATTTTCAAATGGGTGCAAGGGTTTCCAGTTTGGAGCCTATTTTCAAAAGCTCAAGTAAGTGTCAAGCCTACTTGCCTCAATATTGGAGAGATCACCAAAAAAGTGTAAAGCATGGCAGAGTAGAACCACTTGGAAACTCATTTATGCCATAGTGCATAAAAGGGCTATACCAGAAAACTCAATCTACTTGACCTACCAATAAACTTGATTATATATATCTGTATTTGCCCCAAACCATGGAAAGATGTGATATCCCTACCACTGAAGCAAGTAGGTGCTTTCCTTGAGATCTTTAAAGACTTGAAAATCCTGGAGAATTTGATTATTTTTGAACCCACAGAAAAACCCTGATTCAGGAACTGAGGTAATACATAAAATACCGAGTGAACAATCTATTGAATGCTATAACCTGTAGCAACAGGGTTGTCAGAACAAAGTAAAAACCTGTTCGGCTACTCTATTCTGCTCCAAAAATCAACTATCAATGATGTTTTATGGTCCAGGAACTAACGATATCTTGAAACATTACACAGATATCAGCTACTGAGACCCCACACATAAAATAAATCATGAATACACATTTGACCATAAGTACCACAAATAATTATCAATACATAACTATCATTAAGTATCAGTCACAATAGTTAAATAAACTTACTACTACGGTAGACTGTAAATCTAGTAAAACTAGTAAATCTAGTAAATCTAGTAAAATCTTGTAAAATCTTGTAAAAACTTGATTATTCAATGTCTAAGATATAAAGTGCAAATGTCGAAAAAGCACTGAAAATGCCTTTGTATGAATGAAATGAACATGTAGAAAAAATTCTACCTTTTATTTCATTATATTTAGTTACAAAACAACTATATGTTAGTACTGGATAACAAAATGGTTATCAAATGGTACACCCATTTTATCATCATACACAACCCACCCAAGAAGCATGCTCTATTAACAAATTAAGTTACATATTTAAGGACTGAGGGGACAATGCGTACCATCTAAATCTATAAAAGATCTAATCAGCCAATCACGCTTTGAGGGGCATAACTTGAAAATGTATAAATTCATTGATATTCTATACACAGGTAAAGCGAGCTTTTCTACAGGTATGTGAAGTCCCAGACCAGGGTAGAATACACAGAGCCTTTGTGCTTCCTATAAAAATAGCTAAAACAGTTCCCCCGATAAACAAAAAGCCATTAGTAGGCTGATAGGAAAGATCGTTGCCATGGTAACAACTAAGAGATGATGGTAGACTACCTGTATTCTTTTAGCATGATCTTTAATCCAGTGTCAAGAGGATTCAATATCCATTCAACACCCAAATGTTAGTTTTTAGATTTTTCAAACTAACCTTCTAAATAAATAAAGAAATGGTTACCACAACAACTGATTTGATACTTATTTCTTTCCTCATTTTCAAATTTTCCGAAGTAAGTATCATTTTCTATAGAAACCGTGCCAAAACTTTTCATTTTTGTACCTTTTTCTAAATAATCAACAGAATATCTAGAATTACCACTCAATCTAAATGATATTGCAAAGTGACCATATCTTTAAAATACAAATATGTAGTAAGAAAACTGATGAATCATTATCCAATAAAACTAAAATAAACTTAACGATTTCTTACCTTCATGCTGTTTTGTTTCACGATTCAGAAGAGCATACTTATCTCTAACACATAGACAATCCTAATTAACTGTTGCTCTGAGAGAAAGCGCTACCTGCCTAGGAGCTAGCAATCTTGACAACAGAGAACAGGGGCATTAGTATCTTTCTTTTATGTCAGATTGCATATCTCTGCAAGATTTCAAGCAAATTAAACCCTCTGGTAATTTATACAATATACCCTCTGAGTTGATCTACATCTGGACTCATGGCAGAGAAGGCCCCCAAAACTAGCTATAATTAATAGTTCTTAACCGAATGCCAGACATTACATTTATAAGGAAACTATGGGGCCTTTCGTGAACAAGGGAATACTTTTATATAAACAGCAGTAATTGGGCAAGATACCTGTGATGACAACATTATTTCAACTAGCTCTACCAATTATTTTTAGCTCAACAATTACAAAACATAATATAATATATTCGTAATAATATCAGCATTTGATTCTATCTTTCATTATCTTCACCTGCCATTTCATAAGCATTCTATATAACTGCTTCAGAACTACTTCATCAGGCTGACATCATGTAGTCATATAAATCCGACCATCGTATGCTTTATTTTTCATTATTTTTTGATAATTTGGATATTTATTTTTTGTTATTTTCTTGCATACTAGGGTCGTACACACTTCCCGGTTGTAAATTGAGGGAAATGCTTTCCTGGCCTGTTTAGGCAACCAAAATCACACAAATTATGTATTAGAATATGCTCTTCATCGATAATGTATTTAATCCTACCTTACACACGTCAAACGCTTGATAATTGAAGAAGTATAAGAATTTTTCTGGAAAATTTTTTTTTCCCCATGTGTAGATGCATTCTGGGTAATGATTGTGTAAAAGTAAAACTCTAGGTGAAGCGAAAAACGAAATTACAATAAATAACAGCAGCCATATTGAGATCGAGATTTCAACTCGAAAGTTTATCATCGTCTTATGACAATTGAATCGCCTTCTCAGACACCAAGGAGGGTGAAGAAACCGAAAACAGATATGTTGGTAATAAATAATTACGATTTCGTTTTGGTTGCATGGTTTTACATTTAGACAGTATTCAGTGACCTTGAGTGACCTTGAGAACCATATTGGTAATTGGTTCAAACATATACGAAAATGATTACATTTCTTCAATTATCAAGTATTTCCTGTGTTTAAGGTAAGAGTTAATACATTCTAGTTGAATCATTGGATCCATTATCTTATCTGTGTAACTTTTGTTGAGCATAGAGGGCAGAAAAGCATTTACCGCAATATACAGGGCTTAATATCCTCGACGCAAATGTTGAAAACAAAAATAAAAAACAAATATCCAAATCGTCAAAAAGAAACGTGAAACAACAACATTAAGTCGAGTTCACTTGACTAACATCATGCTGATTAAGGAAACTATTCTAAAGTTTTTCATGATTTAAGAGAAATAGATATGTTTTGGCAATAAATTTGATTGCACTTACCTCATAAGGAACCAAGCTCATGGCGTTATTTTCTGTAATTGTGGATGATGAGATCCCCGAGTGAAAAATTAGTTTACTTTAATCCTATTATCCTGAATTTTCCAAAAGGAATATATTTCTAGATCTCTATGTCTGGAATAGTAGGCCCTTGAAGCACTTGGGAGTCATGGCTCTTACAATGAACAAGCTTGCCTCTTGAAAAAATACTATAGATCAAGTACAACCATTTTGAATCATCGCGGTGGTCATAATTACAAAATACCTCCATCTATTTAAGATCTTTACAAAATTCAATTTACGGGTTTACATTTTTCATCAGCTTATCATAGTTCAGTTTTTCGTTTCATTTATCAAGTTTTCTCAGAAATGGACTTTTGGTTTGTCAGAGTTAAAAAGGATTTAGGGCTGAGCATTAACATTAAAGGTAAGTGGGACTTGAGCTATCTTCAAAACTGCCAAATAAAGATGGAATAAAAATCACCTTTCTTCATAAAAGTGGATGGATATGATGTTTTCCCAGAAAAAAGCTAAGTGGCTA